CACTCCAGTCTGGGCGACTGAGTGAGACTCCGACTCAAAAAAAAAAAAAAAAAAAGTTCTAATGGCCAGGTTTGGTGGCTCATGCCTGTAATCCCAGCACTTTGGGAGGCCAAGGCAAGAAGATTGCCTGAGCCCAGGAATTAGAGACCAGCCTGGGCAACATGGTGAGACCTCGTTTCTACAATAAAATTTAAAAAACTAGTCTGATGTTGTGGTATGTGTCTATAGTCCCAGCTGCTTGAAAGGCTAAGGCAGAAGGGGATCACCTGAGCCCAGCAGGCTGAAGCTATTGTAGCCATGATCATGCCCCTGCACTTCAGCCTCGGCGACAGAGTGAGACTCTGACTCAAAAAAAAAAAGAAAAAGTTATTTGCTGACATTTTATAAAAAGCAAAAGTAACTAAAAAGCATTAGATTTTTATTTGATTATTGTAATGGTTCACTCTAATGTATTACAAAAAGACTTTCTGGTTCAGCCTCTGATTATGTGAACAAGAAACTTGAATATTAAATATCCAATCTTATTTAAAATAAAATAAGATTCATTAACAAATATATACTGACCATGGCATTTTTTCATTCAGTAAATATATAAATACATGTTTAAGTATTTACAAATAAGTATATAAATACATACTTAAGTATTTATAAGTCAGCATAAAAATATTTAAGTGTTCACATATATAGATATAAAATCGATTTTGTTTTTTGTTTTTTTTTTTCATTTTTTGGTGTTTTTTTTGTTTTGTTTTGTTTGTTTTTGAGTTGGTGTCTCACTCCTTCACCCAGGCTGGGGTGCAGGGACACATGTCCTCATGGCCACCCCAGTATCAATCTTCTGGATTCCAGCAATCCTTCTGCCTCAGCCTTCTGAGTAACCGGAACTACAGATGCGCACTACCACGCCCGGCTATTTTTGTATTTTATTGTAGAGATGAGGTCTCATCAAGTTGCCTGGGCTGGTCTTGAACCCGCAGGCTCAGGCAGTCCCCTAGCCTCAACCTCCCAAAGTGCTGCAATTACAGGTTGAGCCACTAAACCCGGCCTAAAATTTATTTTATTTTATTTTATTTCTTTATTTTTTTGAGTTGGAGTCTCACTGTTGCCCAGACTGGAGTGCAGTGGCCGCTCCCTGCCACCGCAGCCTCGACCCGCGGGCTCAGGCAATCCACTCACCTCAGCCTCCCAAAGGCGTGGGATTATAGGCTGAGCCACCGAGCCCAGCCTAAAATTGATTTTAAATAGTGTTTTACCACCAGGCCTATATTTTAGTGTTTTGGATATTAATATTTTTGTCATCTTATGAAATCTGAACTTTATTCCCCTTTATATTTCCTTTTTTTTTTCTTTTTTTTTTTTGAGTTGGAGTCTCACTTCGTTGCCCAGGCTGGAGTGCAGTGACACACTCATGCCCACCCCAGTGTCAACCTCCTGGGCTCCAGCGATCCTTCTGCCTCAGCTCTCCAAGTAGCCAGAACTACAGGCGCATGCTACCATGCCCGGCTAATTTTTTGATTTATTGTAGAGACAAGGTCTTGCCAAGTTGCCCAGACTGGTCTCAAACCTGCAGGCTCAGGCAATTCACTCACCTTGGCTTCCCAAAGTGGTGGGATCACAGACTGAGCCACCGAGCCCAGCCCCCTTTATATTTCAGTTGCATCTTTATGGACATTTAATAAGATAGGACATCATTTGATTAAGTGAATGCTTTCTTTTTGAGCTTTTCCTGTTCTTTAAAACAGTTTTTTAATTTATATATTTTAAAATGGAGGAACATAATGGATGTATTCTTTTTACGTTATATTTGGTTTATAGTTAATGTTTCCTGCTTTATTGAAAGAAGCATTTTAACTAAATATGACTTTTTGCATATTTACTTCTCACCAAAAAAAGTATAAAAGGATAGTCAATTATATTTATTTTACTACCAGGAAATAGTTTAAGTGGGTATTGAAATAATAAGTCATTTTGTTCTTTTCCTACAATATGGTAAGGTTTTATTATTTCAAAGTGATGGATGACTTACCATTTGCCTCTTTCATTCAAGCAGGATTTCCAGCTAACACTGAAGCTGAGAGACACACCACATTTTATTCTTTGCCATCTTCATTGGAAAGAACACCCACCAAAATGACAACATCCCAGAAGGTTACCTTTTGTTCTCATGGCAATTCAGCTTTCCAGCCAATAGCATCAAGCTGCAAAATTGTGCCACAAAGTCAGATTCCCAATCCTGAGTCACCTGGAAAATCCTTCCAGCCCATCACAATGAGTTGCAAGATTGTGTCAGGTATGCAGAAGATGCGTTGAAGGAAGATGATGGGCATGGAGTTGATTGGATGTCAAAATTGTTGGAATTACAAAACTATGGCTCTTCCCCCCTTAAATTCTTCTAAGTAGTATTTGTTTAACAAAAGAGTTAATCACTGCTGATGGGAAAAGTCACAAAGCAAAATCAAAACACATTCATATGGAACTAGTTTTTGAATGAGGAAAGAAATGAAACTCAAAATGGTCAAATTTTTTCTCCTAGTCACAGTTAAAGTTTGCTAGAATATATGGCAGAAACTAAGGTAGGAGTTGTGGTTAGGATTATATATGGAACTAGTAGTAGAAAAAAATTTAGAGGCCTTCTGACTTGGAGTTAAGCCTTAAGGGCTGGAATTGGTTTGGAATTGAAATATCTTTTATTCTCTCTCTAATCACAGTAGAAAATTAGGTAATTCTGAGACTTTTTCCGCTGAGATTGGATTGTCCTTTGCCTTGTGACAGTTTGACATTTATGTTAAGTAAACTTTTAGTAAGAATATACTTTATGGTTTTGGCTTTACCACCTCAGAAAAGACATGGAAGAGGGCAACTGAAAATATCCAGTCGGCATCCGGAGGGCTTCTCTATATACTTAGAAGAAGAGAGGGAAAGGAATGCTGGGTGCTAAAAGTAGACAGCAAAGCTGAAATAGAATCCAAATTTTTGAAATTGATAAGAGGTAAAGAATGTATAATTTCACTATCAGAAACATTTTGAAGCTTGCTGCTTCAGAGGTGGAATAGGTTGAACGTATAAATAGGTTTGAGATTTAGAGAAATTAATAGATGAGTGATTTGATCAGTAAAGACAGTTGAGAATGTTAACCTGTCCACTGGAAACCTTGGAGAGTATTTTATGGTAACACAGATCTTTCTAGATTGTGACGTGACATGGTATTGACAGAGACTTTTGTCTTGAGTAGGTGACTATTACATTTTCCTGCTCAAAATTAATTGCAGGTCTCAATACACGAGGTTCCTAAATCTAATTGTTCACTTACTAATTTTCTTCCTAATAATCTCCCTGTCCATGATGTTAAGGGATTTATCATGTCAAGATTCAGCAGTTCCACCCTTATACTGCTTTTTGAACTTTGATGTGCATACCAGAGAATCTCATTAAAATGTAGATTTATATTCAGTAGGTCTGGGGTGGGACCTTAAAATGAGTTTCTGACAAGTTTCCTCAGTGAAGTCGATACAGGATATAAGGATGCAGAGAGTGAAATGTATTACCCTCTGGACTCTGCTGCTGCTGGGTACCTACAGCATACTGTCCTGTTCTCTTTTCCCAATCTGTCACCTTTGTCTTGGTGGCGCTGTTCTCCATCTTGGTCCTTGACATCTTAGATGAGTTGAATATATGTGATTTGTTTCCCTTCTCTCTTTTAATTAATAAGGTTCCCCAATATCAACTCCAAGCCCATCACCATTGCCTCGAACCCCAACTTCCACTCCAGTCCATGTGAAGCAAGGCACTGCCAGCGCCGTTATTAATAATCCTTATGTTATCATGGACAAGCCTGGGCAGGTTATTGGAGCCACCACTCCCAGTACAGGTGTGTCATTGATCAGTATTGGTACACAGTTCGAAAGATTGAGTCTTTATTCCAACATAATCCTGGTATGATTTAGTGGTTATGTTTGGGAGAATGACATCTCTATCCATAACCAAGAAGAGGAAATTAATGTAAAAGTAACCCCAATACTATTTCTCTGAGGGAAGATTCATTCTTGGTAAAAGTTGCATTTTTAGGAATTTAGTTAGGTTTTTTTTTTTTTTTAATTTTTAAAAATTAAAGGTGGACCTTCATTTTCTAAAAAATAACAGTTGGCTTTATTTTCATTTGGAAGACTTACTCTTTTGGGGCCTGCAAGCCTGCTTTTCCAAGCAGCTTCATGGGTCATAGGCATTTCTCTCCAGTCACATACAAAAGTAATATTTACTTTTTGACAAGATACATTTTGCTTTTGGGAGGGAAATTGGAACCAGCAGTTACAAATAGAGCTCTAATAGGAAGAAGAAGTTATTAGATTCACTGTGTTTGTCTTCATAATACCCTACATTGTGCTTTTTAGGGTTTTTTGAAGTGCTTTCACTAACATGATTATTCCCTTCATTTAACCTGTATTTAAATACATACTCCTAAGTATAAACTTCCTGCTTTCACTTCTAATTAAGGGAAACAGAAGAAAAATGAAATAAAAGGGATGACTGTAAGGTAATGAGGTTGATGGATTGATTTTTTTGAAATATTGGATTATTTAACAGCCATGAATGTATGTTGGGCTTTTCTGAGTAGTTTTTTCTTTTTCTTTTTTTTTTTGTCCGGAAAAGCTGAGCATTTTAACAGTGAATGTAATTGTGGAGCTCCTTTAAAAAAATACAGTGTTGGCTGGGCGTGGTGGCTCAGCCTATAATCCCAGCACTTTGGGAGGCCGAGGCAATTGGATTGCCTGAGCCTGTGGGTTCGAAACCAGCCTGGGCAATTTGGCGAGACCTCATCTCAACGATGAAATCAAAAATTAGCTGGGCACAGTAGCACATGTCTGTAGTTTGAGCTACACGGAAGGCTGAGGTACAAGGATCATTGGAGCCCTACAGGTCAACGCTGGGGTGGCCGTGAATGTGTCACTGCACTCCAGTCTGAGCGACGGACTAAGACTTTGACTCCAAAAAGCAAACAAGCAAAAAAATACAGGGTTCAGGGCTTACCTAACCTCCTTTTGGACATACTTAGGGATGTCAAGTAAGTGTCCTTTGAGGATGTTCAGTTTTAGCAATCAGTTAAAAGTCTTTATAAGTTTGGTAAGTGGAGTAGGTGATTAAATACTATTTTGCGTCTTCACTTATTGTTGACTATAGATATTGTTGACTTATTGTGACTTATTTTTTTCAGACCCTAAAAAGCAGTTGTACAGAGGGCCTTTAAGATGTTTAATGTTGGCACTGTTTTGGAATGGGTAGAAACGTTCTAGTGAAACTACATTGAAGGAACTGACACTCATGTGAATGCATACATTCTGGCATATCTGATAAGCAACAAATGTAATCATGTTATATCCCTTGTTATATAAGAGTAGAATATATAATGTGTACTCACTTACTTCTACACATCCTTACTAGCCTTTGATTCCTCTTGAGATTGAGCATGTGAGCAGCTTGTTAGGAATGAGTCCTTAAGTGTTTTTTTCCAGGAGAGTTTCAGGGTTGTGAGTTTTCAAACCTTAAAAATGGAAAAGAAATAGTGGGAAAGAGGGGAGGGTGGTAGAAAATGCTTTAAAATTACATTTTGCAAGCTTTTCTTTGTTTATATTTTATATTTAAATGTGCCTTGCTTATCAGGAAGTCCTACAAACAAGATCTCTACGGCTTCTCAGGTCTCTCAAGGAACAGGTTCCCCCATTCCTAAAATTCATGGAAGTAGTTTTGTAACATCTACTGTCAAGGTAACACTCTTATTTCATTATTGTACTTTGCTGTGGTTTCTGAAGATAATATGTTCTGCCTCAGCAGGAATGTTTCAGTTGATGATGTAAATTTCACCAAGTAGACTCTTGAAGTTGATAAGTATCTTGAAGATCATCTGCTCTAGACTCTATCTACCTTGGATCTTTTCCTAGCATAGAACATACTTCTCAGCACTTCTATCAAATGATCACTCAATACTATTTGAAAACACACTGTGATGAGGAGTTGGCCTTATTTACTTGGACAGCTTTGTTAAAAATATTTCTTTATAAAAATACTCATTTGACAGCACATTTTTCTATATTTTGTACATTTTCTGTATTGGAACCACCAAGAAGTAAATAACACAACCAGTTCCCAACTTAGTTTTTCAGCTTTACCCTGGTACAAGAGCAATAGACAGTCAGTGTACTTCCCAACTTATGATGGAGTTATGGATGGGCTTACCTGGACATACCCTCAGTAGAGAAGCATTTGTATTTCCTTTTCCATGTGTAATAAGCCTTTCAGTTATTTAAAAATAACTTATCTTCACAAAGTCTCCCCCCCTTCTTTAGGGTACTCGGTCCTTTGGAATTTGGAACTCCAAATATGATCTAACTTATTCAGATCAAAGTGCTAAATACCTGCTCACTGTTTGGTTAATTATTCAACTTACTTGTCATGGCTGCCTAAGTGTAAAGCCTTTGAGGTATGAACTCTTATCTGAGAGCCCCCGAGACTGCAAAGATTATCTCTTTCATGACAAGTGTCTGACACAGATTTCTTATATTTAGACAATATTGAATGGTTTCCTGGTCCAAAGCAAGATTTTTTTCTAAATTCTGTATAGTCTGTGAGCACTGTGTTATATGAATGTCTGAACTGTAGTAGTTACTTAGAAGGTCTTAACTCTGCTAGTTTATTTATTTTTTTTGGTTTTGTTTCGTTTTGTTTTGTTTTGTTTTGAATTGGAGTCTCACTCTGTCGCCTAGACTGGAGTGCAGTGGCCGCTCCTGGCCACCGCAGCCTCGACCTGTGTTGATGATCTTTCATTACACAGTCAAGAAGTATTCTTAATTTTGTTTCTTGCCCCTATTAGGTAATTATGACAAATTGCCTCTGAGATTTGCCTTTCATGTTTGAGAATTGGCAATTGTTTTTAGTGTTGTCCTTTGTTGTCTTTGCATATGCTGATTTTTATTCAGGTTCTTAATTATTATTGAAAAGTTTTCCCTTGCATTTTGGGTATTTATTGAGTAAATTTTACAAATCAAGTTGAGTACTATTAAAAGAGAATATATATTGAAATATTGCAACTGCCTGTTTTTTTGAATAAGTCCTGTATATATGAATGAGTTCTGTTCTGAGAGTGCATTTTTAAATCTAATTTGTTCATAAATCCAACAGAGTTAGCCTAAGTACCCAACTAATTCAGTCGGTTATATGGTATCAGCTATATTGCCGCTGCTTTTATGCTTGCTTCCAGATATCCTGGGCTTAAAATAAAGATACTATACTACTGTACTCTACACAGTACTGTTCAGTAAAGCACAAAAGCACAACCACTTGTAGAGGATGCACACATGTGACAATGTATGCCAGATACATTAACTAACTTACATGATTAGACATGCAAACACACATTTACATCTTTGAAAGTTCACAACTTGAAGGTTTGTATGTAGGGGACTTACTGTATTTATTTATTTAGTGCCTAGACTCTAGGGATAGAAAAGAAACAAAATACAGTCCCTGTCCTTTAATGGTTTATCATGTGGCAGGGTCAAACCAAGAAAGCAACCAAATATCAAAGGTACTAAGATAGAAGTCTTTACAAGCCAGGTGCAGTGGCTCACGCCTGTAATCCCAATACTTTGGGAGGCGGAGGCAAAAGGATTGTCTGAGCTCAGGGGTTTGAGACCAGCCTGAGCAACATGGAGAGACCTTATCTCTATAAAATATCATAAAATTGGCCGGGTGTGGTGGCGCACACCTGTGGTTCCAGTTTCTTGGAAGGCTGAGATGGGAAGATCACCTGACCCAGCAGGTCGAGGCTATGGTGACCATGAGCGTGCCACTGCACTGCAGCCTGGGTGACAGAGTGAGACTGACTAAAAAAAAAAAAAGAAGAAGTTGTTTTTACAGTATACAGCAGGACACAGATGAATAGGTTCTTGCTAAATTGCATATTTTCTTTGCATTTGGTTTCTAAAACAATATTAAAATGCAGGTGTAGAGGCTTGGAAGACCTCAAAGAGTTTTGGGCTTTTTGATTTGTTTTATCTTTTGGTGGTTATGTTGCTAGAGAATCTGACAGGTTTGTATTAAACATAAGTGACTAGAATATCTGAAATCACTCATTTATCCTGATTGTAAAATATATGTTTTTGCACACACACAGCAGGAGGATTCTTTGTTTGCATCTATGCCACCTCTTTGCCCAATTGGGAGTCACCCTAAAGTTCAAAGCCCCAAACCTATAACTGGAGGACTTGGAGCTTTCACAAAAGTGAGTATTGATTAGGGCATGCTCCCACAAGTCAAGGTGGTCTTGTTTGTCTGGTTTGCTCATCCTTTTTGTGGCATGTTGATTGCCCTTCTGATGGAGTTGTTGTTTTTTTTTTTAACAGATCAAGTGTTATTAACTTACTCATCCCTGAAAACAGAATAGATTCATAAGTTAGTAGCTCCTTTTAATGAGATGTTTGTGGATATTTTTCATTGTCGTATTTGTTGCAAGGTGATCATCAAACAGGAGCCTGGTGAAGCCCCTCATGTGCCCACAACAGGAACTGCCAGCCAGTCACCACTCCCACAGTACTTGACTGTGAAAGGGGGTCACATGATAGCCGTGTCCCCTCAAAAACAGGTCATAACTGCTGGAGAAGGGACTACCCAGTCACCAAAGATTCAGCCTTCCAAGGTTAGTGTTGAATAGGGATGGAAAGGGTGGCATGTAAATGAATGTTGTTTGCTTAAGTAATTGACAAATGCTGAAAAGATTTAGGATGTCAAGGTTGTTGATCCCATAAAAAACTGTACATGAAAGCCCAGTTGGAAAAGCGCCTTGGTTTGTATTAAACCCTTCTGCTCCTATGGTAATCATTGATAAGAACAGGAGTATGTATTATAGAGAGTCCAGGAATGGTCCAAGAAGCAAAGGAACCTTGTGTTGTCTCTGGCAGTGAAGGCTACTGACTTCATGGACACAGCTTTCCACTTGCCTCAAATCTAAAATGAGCCTGCTGTGATACTTGTTAGTTTGTTTACACCACTGATTCTTGGCTCTCTGTAGAGATTATTTTCCTTACAGTTTTGAGGTGTGGGGGAATTAATGTATTAGGAGAACTGTAAGATATCTCATAGATCCATGTTTTTCTGAATCAATTAGAAAGCTGGTCGTGTATCACTTAATAATGGGTATGTTCTGAGAAATGTATCATTAGGCGATTTCATTGTTGTGCAGACATCATAAGTACACTTACACAAACCTAAATGGTGTAGCCTACTACACACCTAGACTATATGGCACAGCCTCTTGCTCCTATGCTGTAGACCTGTACAGCATGTTACTACTGTACTGAATACTGTAGGCAGTTGTAACACAGTGGTAAATGTTTGTGGATCTAAACATCTAATCATAGAAAAGGTACTGCAAAATATGACATAAAAATCCCATAGGACCACTTTCGTGTATGTAGCCTATTGTTATATGGTATGTGGCTGTAGTGTCTCTTGAGTACTTTTGTGTGCTTTGCTCATATTTATTCGTTATTACAATACTCTTACAACCCTGCAAGGTGAATATTTTAACCTTCATCTTACAAATGAGAAAACTGTGGCCCTGAAAGCAGCTTCCTCAAGAGCCAGTAAGTGACTGAGGGTTGGAGCCCAGGCCTGGTAATTCGAAACTCCTCATTCCAGAACTAATGAAAATTCATGAGCCGTTGTCTTTAACCTAAGCTTGCTTTTAGAACACCCAGAGTTAAATTATCTTCATTTATTGGCAGTTGTACTTTAAAACAATTAAGAATATTATGTAGGTGTTTGTTTTTCAACTTGAAAGCTAGCCTATTCACGAGGATTGAATTGTTTTGATAGAAATTCTGTAAAATGAAGGAAAAAGATATAGATCTTTGCTAGATGAGAATCAAGATAAAAATTAATAGTTTTAGGTTGTTCTGAAATCTGTAGCAATTTATCTACTTTCCCAAACTTAACATAGTTATAAAAATCATCCTCTGATTAAAAAAATACAGATACCTAGGCCCTGTCTCAAACTTACTGAGTCAGAGTTGCCTTGGGAGCCCTGGGAACCTGGATTTTTAATAAGCTTCCCTGGTGTTTCATTTGCTTTGGCAGATTTATGAACTATAGAGCTACAGCATCAAATTAGACATCGAGGCTTCCATGCCAGAATCACTAAGACAGGCATCCCCACTGCTGCCTCAGACCCCTCTGTTGTTTTGGCTTTGGGTATAAGCGTTCTGTCAAAATCCTTCAGTGAGTCTGTTACCATCATTTGAAATTTTTATTCAGCCTTATATGTTCCTCAAAATCTGTTCCGCTTTACATTGAGATATATGGATTTACTGATTTAGGTTGTGAATCAATTTAGCATTGCTATTTATGCTTTGGGATAAATTTCCACTTTTTGCCACTTTTCTTCTTGGCCGCCCACTCCTCAAGTGCTGCTGAACAACTGTGCTGTCTTGGCACATCACCACCTACTTAATGGTAATATAGGACTAAGAGAAAGTAGGCGAGTTTGTGCATTCTAGAATGCCCTGAATATGGTTTAAGAACACCTGAAAAAGAACCACAGCAGAGTGTGAAGACCTGCAAAGAATTGCACAGAAGCAGCAGAGCATGAGAAAAGACATTGCTGTTCATCCTGGGACTTCAGTGCAGGCTTAGCACTCCAGAGAAGGCGGTGTGTCTGCAAGTACAGACTGTCAGGTTATCGCATAGGTACATTCTTAGAAACTATGCCAGAAAACAGACGGATCGAAAAAGTGGTTGTGTTTTACTGTTCATACAGCATTGGCACAATAGAAACACAGCTTATCTGTTTCTTGAAACTGGGGAGAGGTGCTGCCCTTGATATGAAAAAGAGCAGCTGAGGAATCAGTGGGCACATATGGGAAGGCAGCTGTGTGTTACTGTAAAAGGAGCCCAGGCTTTACAATTCGAGCTTGTTGTAAATCTCAGGTCTCAGCCACTCATTATTCTGTGACCTGGGCAGGTTACTTCATCTCTCTGAGTCCTGGTTTTATCATCTAGCAAAAAGGAAGTAATGCCTTCTGTCTTTCAGGGTTGTAGGAGAATTCGAGATCATTGTATGTAAAGAACCTGGCCCAGAGCAGGTGCTCAGCAAATGTGAATATCAAGTGTACACATGCCCAATTACCATGGTAGTAGTTATCATTGAGCACTTGCAAATGGCTGTTTTTTGGAGTATCTGGAGGGAAAATCACATGTATAGAATCTGCAGGTTGCTGAAGTAAATTCTGACTTGCCAAAGGTGTATGCACAGGGCATAGAGAGGGCAGAAATAGAAACAATGAGTCAAAGTGAAGTATTTATAACAAATATAGAACAAAGGGTGTCTGCTTTGTCAAGCTAGAAGGAAATTAGCAGCAGAGAGGGAAATGTTGTAGAATGGGAAGAGGATAAGAGTAGTGGAGTTCAAGTTCTAGGCAAAAATGTTGTGCTGTTAAAAACTAACTTGGGATGTTGACGTCCTATTTAAGAGCTCATATCCATTGTGGTTTCCATAATCAGCTGCACAGAGCTTTTCCTAGTAGAATGCAGACTTCCTCATTCTCCTGTGGTCCTGTTCATTGTTGGCTATTCTCTCTCCCCCCCACACACACACAAAATTTGAGGGGGCCGCCAGAGGGGAGATTCTTTCCATGAGTTTGCACATAGAGGATCAACTCTGCTGAGAAAGACTGCCCTCCAGTGGCCGACTAGAAACACCATGTTTTATCAGGCTTTTGGAGAAATGTTCATGTCTTGGAAACCTTGAAGCAGTTGGTACAAGAAGGAAAAAGCAAGTCAGAGGCATGGAATTTGGGGAAAGAAATTTAAATAGGTTTAATAAGTGAGTATTGTTTTATTTTAAATCTTTGCATTCTTTGTTAGTTTAGGAACATGAAAATAGATTGTAATTTAACTTATGGGATAGACTTTTATGTTTGATATGTGTAGATATGAAGATTCCTATATTAGGAAGAAAGTTCAAGTACTACATCAGATAAATCCAAACACCAGAGGCTTAAATAAGTTTATTTGTCTCCCTCCTAGAAGACCAGTAGGCATTTCGCTTTGTGTTTCCACAGTCATCAAGAATCTAGACTCCTGCCTTTTTGCTCTGCAAAAGTGTTCTCAAAATGTGTTTTTCAACTTGTGGGCTAAGATACATGCTTCATCTCATGCCTCCATGTTCACACTTGTCACCAGTGGGGAGGGAACAAGGGGAAGGCTGAGGCCGGGCACAGCCCAGAAGTTGCACTCGTCACTTTTGCTCACATCCCTTTAGTCAGAAATCAGACAGCCACACCTAGGTTCAGGGAGGCTGGGAAACACAGTCATGATTCTGTGGTGGCCATGCCCTAGCTGAAGGCTGGGTGGGGGGAGATTACAAAAGAAGAAAGAAGGCATGGATATTGGGGTTACAGTAGCAGTTTCTGCCATACTTTAACAATGTTTTTCTACGTTAAGAATTTTTGGGAGGGTGAAGGGGTTGGGCATAGTGGCTCATGTCCATATTTTCAGCACTTTGGGAGGCTGAAGGCAAGAGGACTGATTGAGACCAGGAGTTCAAAGCTACCTGGTAACATAGTGAGACCCTGTCTCTTAAAAAAGAAAACCAGGCATGGTGGTATGCACCTATAGTCCCAACTATTCAGAAAGCTGAGCTGGGCTTGAGCCTAGGAATTTTAAACTGCAGTGAGCTGTGACCACACGACTACATTCCATCATGGGCAGCAGAACAAGACCCTTTCTCTAAAAATTAAAAAAAGGCGACCAGACTCGGTGGCTCAGCCTGTAATCCCACTACTTTGGGAGGCCAAGGTGAGTGGATTACCTGAGCCTGCAGATTCAAGATCAGCCCAGCAACTGGGCGAGACCTCGTTTCTACAGTTTAAAAAAAACAGAAATAGCTGGGCGTGGTAGCATGCACCTGTAGTTTCGGCTACTTGGAAGGCTGAGGCAGAAGGATCGCTGAAGGCCAGCAGGTCAACGCTGGGGTGACTGTGAGCTTGCCACTGCACCCCAGCCTGGATAACAGAGTGAGACTCCAACTCAAAAAAGAAAAGAAAAGAAAAAATTTTGTTTTCATAAATGTACAGAAAAGTTCTTGATTAGTACAAAAGGTTTCCGTATCTCCACATCTGTGGGGGGATGACCTTGCCTGGCACTGTGGCCACAGAAACTCTCCAGGTCTTGTACAGACTGAAGCTCTTAGAGTTAGAATAAAGATGTAGGTATAGGTAATGTGTTTCAACCAAGCCAAGAGAGCTGGGGTGGGGGGGTGCTCATCTCCATTCTAGGTGAACTTATTTGTTTTCATTGGTTCTTCTATTCTTTTGTTTCTTCTTTCCTTCCCTCCTTCCTTAAACATTCATTAAAGTAGAAAGAATAGTATAATGAAAGCCAAGTGCCCATTGCCCAGTTTCAACAGTCATCAGCACCTTGCTAATTTGATTCCTCATTCTGGAATATTTTAAGCAGACCCCAGATGCTATATAATTTCACTCAAGATTAATTTCTGTTTGACTAACTGAATCTGGGGTTTACGATGAAGGTTTCTGCCATGTCTAACTGCTGAAGACAGCAGGTGTCTGTCCTGTGGCCTTTCTTTCCTAGTCTGCTTTCAGCCTCACGGGTGCCATTATTCAGCTCACAGCAAATGTCCTGGTTAGCAGCAACCATTGTCATGTTAGCTAGGCATTTCATGAACTCATCTTCATTTTGCTTCATGGTTTTCTGAGGTATTATCTGTATGTAATAGATGAGGACGCTAGTGCTAAAACTCAGGAAGGTTAATTAATTAATCGAGGGTAACTAACTGCAGCTGACCTGGGAAACCAGGTCCACCTGCTGACAAAAAACATGCACTCTTTCTTCTTTGTTACATGGTGCTTTATAGTAGTTGATTAGGAGCCTATTTCTTCATATCAGTCTTACCATCCAAGCACATGGCAAATGTGTTTTACTCAGTCTTTAAACAGAAACCATGTATGATTTAATATTTATTTAAAACATCCCATTCATCAGTTGCCTATGGTTTATCATTTCATCTCCTGAGTAATCCTGTTCTAAGTTTAGAAGTGTTCTAAAATTTCAATAAAATACAGAATAATATAATCAATGTCTACATATTCTCCATCCCAAATTAGTACATTCCTATTTACTTCAGATCTTTTTTTCCTCCAAATAAAACATGACTTATAAAGTAGATGTCCACTTTGTTCTTCCCAAAAGTAACATTCTTCTGACTTTGATGTGTGGCCCACCAGTCTGTACTTTTATTACACAAATACTTAACTATAGAAAACATGTAGGATTGTTTGTGTTTTGAAGATATGCATAAAAGATCTTTCTGTTTACATTTTTCTGCAACTCCCTTTTTACTCAATATGCATTCTTTCAGTCTTTATGCTAATGCATAGTTCTAGTTCATTTTTATTAATCTGTGGTATTTCATTGTGTGTCTTACACATTTTATCTGTACTACATTTTATCTATTCCTCTTTCTGCAGACATGGAAAATGTTGCTACATGCTATAGACATTAAGTTGCTAACAGTTTTTTGTGAAATGTAACAGCATTACAAATAATGCTACATTGGATATTTTTGTGTATGTTTCCTTGAGCACACTTCTAAAATTTTTCTAGGATATATTTCTAAAAGTAGAATTCCTTCTGTATGAGGTATGTGAATTTTCAATTTTAGCAGAAATGTCATTGCCCCTCTGGAATGACTGTACAAATTTACCTTTCTACCAGCTGTGAACAAAAGTTTCTGTTTCCTCATAGCCTGTAGCCAGTTCTTGGTGTTATCAGACTTTAAACTTTTTCTTTTCTTGTTTTTTTTGGCCAATCTGATGGGTGAAAAGCACTTCCTATTTTCTCTTTTTTGTCTTAGGAAGACAGGTTATTTGTATTTCTCATAACCTTATGAAAGTCTTTTCTGGTGAGAAGTTCTTTTTATGAAATAAAGAGCTAGGAAGTGGGAGACATTGCCCTAATTTGCCATTAATTAAATGTTTCTTTTAATTTAATATCCTACTGTTTACTTTTTGTTATAACAACAGTTCCAGAATATTACTTTACTTGAAAGAGATCACTTTACTTCCAGAACCAAGTATTTCTGACTTTTATTATTTGGACACTGAGGTATTTGATTTTTAAATCTAATTAAATAGTACCCTTGTTTAAACTTTTTCCTTTTTAACCAGATGTCTACCTTCAAGAAGAGAAAAGTTGAGGAAGAGATACAGAGAAAGATAACTTTTCTTAAAAATCAGTTGAGAGGTGGCAGGGAGCTGTGGCTCACGCCTATAACCATGCCAGGCGTGGTTGTGCGTGCCTGTAGTTCCAACTACTTGGAAGACTGAGGTGGAAGGATCTCCTGAGTCTAGCAGGTTGAGGCTGCGGTAGCTGTGAGTGTGCCACTGTACTCCAGCCTGGGCGACAGAGTGAGACTCTAACTAAAAAAAAAAAAAAAAAATCAATTGGAAGAAACATCACATGGTATACTGCATAATAAATGATAGGAGCTGTTAGGAGTTATAGAGATGAAAAAAGAAATAACTACTTCAGGTGGAGATAATATGTAAGAGGTGATATTTTAAAGTGTCTAGTGGCATTGAGAGTTCTTTATGAGATTGTTTATTGCAGTTTTTCATAATGTGAAGTTTAAAATTACTTAACCAACAATAGTAAAATGTTTATATGGGTTTTGGTAAACCTATTCAAATATATTATTATTTGGTCATTTAAAATTTTTTGAAAAATAATGTTAGAAAATGCTTGTGGTATGTAATTTAAAAGCTATAAAACTATATCTACAGTGTGATCCCAATGCTGATTTAACGTACATTAGAAAGAATTGGAAGTAAGTACATTAAAATGTTAAGAGATTATTTCTGGATGCATAGAACCTTTTTCTTTATAGCTCAGAATTTCCCAGATTTTCTATTAAAAAATTTTTATAATCAAAGTAAGTCATAAAAAATAGCTAAGGTAATACAATAGACTTTAACTTTTTTCCTTATAATATCCCAAATATAAGAAATACAGTTGTTGTTTCCCATCTGTCTAGGTAGTATTCCTAAATGACTGGGTTTGACTCGTGCCTTCTGTCTAGACCTTTGCTTTGTTCCTTGCCAGAGCAGAGTGACTACTGCTCTAAGAGCTCTTAAAGGGGCAATGAGAAGCACTGTTGGACTCTCCTCTGTTTTGGACAGGTTGTCGGGGTGCCCGTTGGATCTGCACTACCTTCAGCAGTGAAGCAGGCTGTGGCAATCAGCGGTGGCCAGATCCTGGTAGCCAAGGCCAGCTCCTCTGTCACGAAAGCAGTTGGTCCAAAACAAGTTGTGACTCAAGGAGTTGCCAAAGCAATTGTGAGTGGAGGTGGAGGAACCATTGTTGCTCAGCCAGTGCAGGCCTTAACGAAGGCCCAGGTCACCGCTGCTGGTCCTCAGAAGAGTGGATCCCAGGGTTCAGGTAACATAATAATCGGGGGCCCTTTCAGCAGCAGCTCTGTCCAAAATTTCCTTTGCTAGTGATTTTATTTGGTATTTGGCTCTGTTTAGGAAAGTGTAGTTTAGGTTGATGCTAGAAAATGTGTATAAAAATTTTTTTTTATTTTCATGAAACATTTTACACAGAAGTCTGTGAATAGTTTGCTTTAAGTTCACATACACACACACACACACTCATCCCTCTGTGGGGGGATTGGTTCTGGAACTCCCTACTACAGATAGAAAAATCTGCAGATGCTCAAGTCCCTTGTGTATAATGACATAGTATTTGCATATAACGTACATACATTCTCCCTTATACTTCAAATCATCTCTAGATTATTTATAATACCTAGTACATGTATGTGCTGTATAATAGTTGTTATACTGTATTGTTTGGGGAATAATGACAAAAATGTCTGTACATGTTCAATATTGATGCAACTGTTTTTTTTTTTTTTAGTCAGATACTTGAATTTTTTTTATCTGTGGTTGGCTAAATCCATGGATGTGAAACCCACAGCTACGTAGGGCTGATATACTTGCCAATAAAGTAGCAAATCTTGCCCTAACTTGACTTTAAGCAAATAGGGGGAAATGTGTGTTCATGCATAGATGGGGTGATTGTTTCATTAATTGTCTAAACTACAGTACTTTTGAGAGTAAAAGGAGTCACTATTAATTACAATGAAGCATAGGTGTAACCTAGAACTGTTCTCTGCAAAGCTAGGACATATGATCTCCCTATTTATATACAGATATAAATTAGTTTATGGAAGGCTCTTTTAGTCTGTACATTATTTTTTGTTAACAAGATGTTTTTAAAATGCTAGCCTTTAAAGCATTGTGCATCTAGGAAACAAACTGTAAATATACTGTTTGTTATTGTTTTTAAATAAGATTGTATTGTCCTGTATTTTAGAGTCTTACTCTTAGTTCCAATTTATCTTACACTTTGTCCTTTTTTTCCCTTTTTCCATTTTAGTCATGGCAACCTTGCAGCTGCCAGCCACTAACTTGGCCAACTTAGCAAATTTGCCCCCTGGTACTAAACTCTACCTTACCACGAACAGCAAGAACCCTTCTGGAAAAGGAAAGCTGCTGCTCATCCCTCAAGGAGCCATCCTGCGAGCTACCAACAATGCTAGTTAGTTACATCATTTGGTTCTTGGGTCTCTGAGTAGGTTCATCTTGTCCCCTGAGGGGTAGTTCTTGTTTCAGGAAGCATTTTTGTAACTCATTTTGGTGGTGTAATGGTAGCATTTGCCCGGATGGATTTAAAACATGCACATAATTGAACTAGAAATGGGTTTACTATTCAGAATTTGGTTTCAGGAATGAACCACACTGGAGAGGGAAGACAGTTGAGGCTGGGTGGGAGAAAGCTGTCTGCATGACCTGCCAGTGAAGAGTTCTTTCAGTGGCATCTGAAAATTGTCTAATGATACCTTAGGGAAGATCTGTTCACTTCTTGTAGCTGGAAACCTATTTTCATTCAAACGGGGGTAGGAATAGGATTGAAATCAAGTGTCTCTGTGCCATTGTTTGGATGTGCGTCTTACATGTGCTAGGTTTGGAGATGGAAAGAGAAATACAGGTTTTATCTCAGTGTGTGTGTGTCTTAAAGCCTCAAGGAAATTAGGCAGTTTCTCTAGAGTTACATAAACTTTTGCACTGATGTAGAGAGAAAAACCGTCTGGGCGGTGTTTAAAAGGAATGGGTAAGAAGAAATTATTTCCCTCTGAATCAGAAGTAAAATGGTACAGTGGTCAGGTTCGTTAGAAATCAGCCACTTTTTCCTAAATGCAGCGTGTAAGCTAATTGCCATTGTGTTCATTGACTATGATGCTCTTTTGCCCTGGTATTTTTTCCTCATACCTAAGCAGTGGTATGTCAAAAAGGTATGTAAGAAAGAGACAGTGTATTTACAGTTTTAAACAGGGAACTATTTAGATTCTTGTGATACCTTCAGGGTCAAAATAAACCATTGAGAAGGAATCTGTTTTAGTAATAATCACTGGAATTAAGGTGGAATTAAGGAGTTGAATGCTAATATTTGTTCTGGGAGTATTTATGGTCCAGGAAGTTCACATACATTATCTTACCAAATGGAAAGTTTAAAAAGTCTTTGAAGTAGGATTATAAAAACAAAAAAGAATGGGACCCTGGAATCCTTATATATATAAGGGAAGTCTTGATTTTTTCCAAAGCCAGAGAGACAGAAAATAGAGCACTATAGGCTAGGAGTGGTGCCTCAGCTTGTAATCCCAGCATTTTGGGAGGCTGAGGTGAGAGGATTGCCTGAACCCAGGGGTTTGAGACCAGCCTGGGCAATTTGGTGAGACCTCGTCTCTACAGTAAATCACAGAAAAAAACTAGCCAGGCATGGTGGTATGTGTCTGTATTTCCAGCTACTTTGAAGGCTGAGGCGGAAGGATCGCCTAAGCCCAGCAGGTCGAGGCTGTGGTAGCTGTGAATGTGCCACTGCACTCCAGCCTGGGCAACAAGAGTGAGAATCCAACTCAAAAAAAACAAAAACAAAAGAGAGCACTGCAAAATTACACTAAATTTCAACAATTACACTGAAATTGAATTAAATGCCCAAACGTTCCCGCACCTATCTGAGCAAATTTAAGTGTTGATGAAAACACTTGGCTAGAAAATGTCAGTAGCAGGCTCTCTTGATTGTCCAGCCAAGTCAAGACACTTGTCAAAGATAAGTTCTTCATTGTTCTCAAAGCTGAAACATGGTCGGCTACCATTCAATTGCAAGTAAATAGATTTAGATTTTCCTTTTTTTGAGTTGGAGTCTCACTCTGTCACCCAGACTGGAGCGGCCACTGCAGCCTCGACCTGCTGGGCTCAGGTGATCCTCCCATCTCGGCCATCCAAGTAGCTGGAACTACAGGTGCGCGCTACCACGCCCGGCTAATTTTTTGATTTATTGTAGAGATGAGGTCTCACCAAGTTGCCCAGACGGGTCTCGAACCCGCGGGCTCAGACAATTCACTCACCTCAGCCTCCCAAAGTGCAGGATTACAGGCTGAGCCACCGAGCCCGGCTTCGATTTTCTAACTCTAAGATACGCTTTTTTTCTTTCGTCACAGAACAGACAGATTACAGAAAAGAAGGAGAAAAATAGGCAGGGAAAAGGAAGGGCACTATAAGAGGGAACGTCCCTCTGCTTTATCTGTGTTTTCTGTTAAAACTTGGCTTGATACTTTTTATGATGTTGCTGCCTTTGGTGTATTTTTAGGTCTCCAGTCTGGCTCAGCTGCTGGCGGCAGTAGCGGTGCAGGAGGAGGGGGAACTGGAGGCAGTGGCAGTGGTGGTGGAGGAGGAACACCAGGAGGTGGAGGAACAACTGGAGGAGGAAGCCAAAATACCACCGGCCAGGCCGGGCTATCCCAGCACCTGACTTACACATCTTACATCCTTAAGCAGACTCCCCAGGTCTGGTTACTTGTGACTGATTTTTTAAATCCATTAGCTGTGTGATAGCTGCCTTTAATTGTAGTTGATTAACTTTTACAGCTCTGGGATCAGGGGTCAGTACTAACATTTTAGTCATGCTATAAATCTGTATCATCTTGTGCTTGCTTCGTGTTGAGGGGGAAAGAGAGATTCAGGAAGACTTAAGTAATTTATCCAAGATATGCCTGCTAAGTTAATGGTAGAGTTTGGGTTTAAACCCAGATCTTTCTGCCTCAAAGAAAGATTTCCATTATGCTAATTGCCTCTCAAATCCATGAGATAATACACTGTATTATGTACAGTTGAAAATTTGTCATAGAAAGGAGTAACCAAAGAGATAGTGTGAAGTTGTGGCATTTGGAGTTAGATTAGATTGGATTAGGATAGGGTTTCACCATCTTTCCCCTTGTCGCTGAAGGCTTGACTCCCCTCTAAGAAAAGCGTGATAGAATCTTGGTTCCAGATGTTCTTTTTGAGGAAGATGGGTAGTTGCAGTATGAATGATTCAATCTAGCTTTGAGCACTAGTTTGCAAAACTTCAGTTTCCCATAGCCTTTTCTGTAATTATGGTGCAAAGTTTGAGAAGCGGGAATAACTTGGAAGTGGCACTTAGAGCAGAACTTTTCCTTTCAATTATTTTACCCACGTTGCAAAATTGACAGGAGATCATTGTGACTTGTAACATGGGACCTTGTGTTTTACAGATTCAGAGCAATTCATTTAAATTTTGCAAATTACCGGTTAGTTCTTCATATTTTTTTCTAACTTAGGGCACATTTTTAGTTGGCCAGCCATCACCCCAGACTTCTGGAAAACAGCTGACTGCTGGGTCGGTGGTCCAGGGAACACTGGGAGTCAGCACAGCTTCTGCACAGGGGCAACAGACGCTGAAAGTCATCTCTGGACAGAAAACCACTTTGTTTACACAGGTAAGTACACACATGAACACGCCCCAAGTGTGTGGCGGTTATTTACAAATTTACAACTTTTCACAAAGAAATTAAGGTTACATAAGAATATGAACAATAAAATAGTATAGAAAAATAATAAATCTTTAGGTTTGGAAAATAGAAGAATGAGAAAATAGGGTTTATTCAGATACACAAACAGTAAGATATATACTGTACAATCCTGTACAGTTAATAAAATAAGGTATAAATTTGATAGTAAAAGCAAAATGAAAAAGCAAGATTAGTTATAAAATCACACTATTTGTGAGAGGGAAAAATAACACATAACATTTCTTTAGTGGCAACAAAGCCTTTCTTGACACGTCATTATAAAATTTATCTAAAACAGCTTCATGTAGAAGACTCTGAATGGTGTAATAGGTGATTTCAGCTACAATATCCATATAGTAAGTGCTGTAGTGGTTTGGTATATGTTTCTACAGCATTTTTAATGTAAACCAAAGAATAATGACAGGGAATTCTGACTGAGTAAGGGATATCATCGTCATTTCTAGGAGGATCCTATGGCTAAATCTCCAAAACTTAGCAAATGAAATAAGCAAAAGTCCAACAGGATATATACAACATGGTATCATTCATCCAAAAATTATGCATTTTCATGACTGTATGTAGATCAAAACATGAAATGAATATTAGATTTTTGTCATGCTTTTTCTGTTTCTATTGAGATGATCACATTGTTTTGTTTTTTGGTTTTTTTTTTTTTTTTTTTAGTTTGTTAATATGGTGAATTAAATTCATAGATATTGTTCAAATGTTAAACCAACTTTGCATTTCTGGTATAAACCCCACATGGTTGTCATATATTATCCTTTGTTCCTTTGTTGATATATTATTGGCTTTAATTTGATAAAATTTTGTCTAGAATTTTTACAAAGGATACTTGTCAGTAGTTTTCTTGTAATTTCTGTCTGGTTTGGAATCAGGGTAATGCTGACCTCATAAACTGAATTGGAAATTTTTCTATTTTTTGGGAGTTTATGTAGAATGGGTACTATTTCTTTCTTAACTCTTTAGTTGCATACACCGGTAAAGCCATATTGGCCTAGAGTTTTTCTAGTTGAAAAGTTTTTTAATGGCAATTTCAGTTTATTTTAATAGATATTGGACTGTTCAGAGGGAGATAAGGTAGTTTGTGACTTCAAAGAAAACTTTTCATTCAACTAAGGTATAAAGTTGATCATAATCATCCCTCCTCATCCTTTTAATGTCTATAACCTCTATAGTGATGTGCCTTTTTTCATTCTTGGTTTGGTAATTCTGTGTCTTCTCTTTTTATTAATTAGTCTAGTAAGAGGTTTATCCATTTTATTGATCTTTTCAAATTACCAATGTTTGGTTCCTTTAGTACTGATTTCCTGGTCAGATGTCCTTAGCCATTTCAAGCAGATAGGAGGTCCCACACTTTACTGTTGGCAGATCTTTAAATCTTAGTGGATTTCATACCTGCTTGTGCTGCATGTAGAAGACTCTGAATGGTGTAATAGGTGATTTCAGCTACAGTATCCATATAGTAGGTGCTGTAGTGGTTTGGTACACATTTCTACAGCATTTTTAGTGTAAGCCAAAGAATAATGACAGGGAATTCTGATTAAGGGATATCATCGTCATTTCTAGGAGGATCCAATAGCTAGATCTCCAAAACTTAGCAAATAAAATAAGCAAAAGTCCAACAGGATATATACTGGGTACAGTTTACCCACTTCTGCCGTGGATGAGACAATTACTATTGCCCTTCCCTCCTTGCAGGAACTGGTTGTTTGTAGACTTCAGGTTACTTGGTTACCTGGAGATTTGTGACCCTCCACTCCAGTATGTTCTAAAAAAAATAGAACTATTGTTTATCCAGCCTTTTATTATTAGGATAGGAGTAACAAACATGCTTTACAGCCTTCTGTGTCCTCTGGAAGCAGAAGTCCCTGACCAGTGCATTTTCACATAACAGAGAAAATGTAATCGCTGTGGTTTCAGATTACATAATACAACTAAACTTGATGAGCTTTGGTGTATCAGCAAAGAAGAATAACAACAGTATTTGTAAGAGCTGTTGGAGTGCTCTTCCCTTTTCCAACTTACATATGTGTGTATATTGAATTTTCTTAATTCAAACCAACATAGCACAAAAGGAAGAAGGAAGAGAGGGACTCAGGACATGGGGAGCACTGGAAACTACATAGAACTGACTGCTCTTGCCATGGTACCCAACTCATCACCCTGTTGGTTGCCTGAAGTTTCTGCCATCTCCGTATGTAGAGCACATTTAGCATTGTTTCCACATTTCTATGGCGGATTCTCCCTGTGTGTCCTACATAGGGCTTTTATCTTTTGTTGAGGACTTCAGCCTCTTGTTTGTTTTTCATAGTTGCTTGTCCACTATTCTTTAGCTAGTTTTTGAACTCAAGCAATAGAATACATTTATTTATGAGAGGGGACCCCCAAAAAGCCAGAATTATCTTTTGGATGGTAGTAATACATTACCCTTGTAATACAGGCTTCCCCACTAGATAAGTGTTCTAGGAACCCATCAGCATCAGTGTACCAGCTAGCATAGTTGTGAGAGACTGCATTTGACTTCAGTGAATTTTTTATTTTTGTGGAGATTCTTTCAATGCATTTGCCCATTTCATGACGGCTGACTTACATGAACAACATGCCCACGAACACATTGAGTGTTCAGCAGTTTTTGGCCCAAACCAATGTGACCCTCATGCCCCACCCTCCCTATTCACCCAGTCTTGCCCAGAGCAACTTTTTGTTGTTGTTTTCTCAGATGAAAAAAGTCCCCAAAGGGAAACATTTTGCTAACATGGAAGAGGTGAAACAAAAAATGACAAAAGCACTAAAAGTCATCAAAATTGATGAGTTTAAAAAGTGTTTTGAACCGTGTGCTGTGGCTCACCCCTTAATCTCAGCACTTTGGGAGGCAGAGATGAGAGGATCGCCTGAGCCCAGCAGGGCAAGGCTGCGGTGGCCGTAAGCATGCCACTGCACTCCAGCCTGGGCGAAAGAGTGAGACTCCGACTCAGAAAAATTAAAAAATAGAAAGTGTTTTGAGCAGTGGAAAAATTGTTTCAGTAGGTGTATAGCGTGAGTACTTTGAAAGTGACTGATGTGTAAATATATAAGAATAAATACACAATTTTCTTATACATTCCAGATTTTTTGGGATCTCCCTCATATTTGTGTCTTTTCTATCATTTTACGGATTCAGGGCTGAGAGAGTATTGCTGTTTCTGTTTAGTCCACCATTCCCAACAGAGAAATATTTTTTAGTGATCAAAGTCAAGGTCCACAATGAAGATAAAATGGCATAAATCTTTATACATTGAACTATATGGCAGCAAAATACAAAAGGTGCAAACATTATTCAGAATGAAGAGAATAACAGTCACGGAGAATATTTTTAAATATTGCTCAGAATTTAACTGAGAAGATGGATAACTTCTATTATAAAGGATTTTAATTAGAATAACACTAATAACAGGCTTAATTATATGTATTTCTAACATAGAATACACATTTTGCTTTTATGCCTATGGAACATTAACAAACTGATTTTACACTTGGCCACAACGAGAATCTCAGCGTATTCCAAAGGTAGCATTCAATGTGCCTCATTCTCTTACCTAATAAAAATGTCAAATCAATGACAATAGCTAGAAATATTTAAAATGAAAATGTTTTTCTAAATTCTTGGTTCAAAAGAAGTAAAAATAAATCATAGATTATTCCGATCTTAACACAGATGACAATTCTATTAGGATTCTTCAGAGAAACAGAACCAATAGGATATACTTATGAGGAAGTTTATTATGGGAATTGGCTCATGTGATTATGGAGGCTGAGAAGTCCTACAATATGCTGTCTGCAAGCTGGAGACCCTGGAAAACGTGTGGTGTGATTCAGTCTGAGTCCAGAGGTCTAAGAACTGTCAGAGGTGGGAGGAAGGGGTGGCACTGGTGTTAAGTCTTAGAGTCTGGAAGAAGGCCCAAGAACCAGGAGCTCTAATGTCTAAGGGCAGGAAAAGAGCGATGTCCCAGCTCAAGAAGAGAGAGAGAAAGAATTCACCCTTCGTCCGCCTTTTCGTTCTATTCAGGTCCTCAACAGATTGGATGCTGCCTGCCCACGTTTGCGAGGGCGGATCTTCTTTACTCTGTCTACTGGTTCAAGTGCTAATCTGTCCCAGAAATAATATTTTACCAGGTATCTGGGCATCTCTTAACCCACTCAAGTTGACTAAAAGTAACCTTCGCAACCATGCTTCATATTAAAACCTGTGGAAGCAGCCCAAACCATGCTCAGGAAAATTAAAAGCTTAATGCTTTTTCCTTTTAGTCTCATATCTTTTTATTGTGGTATGATTTGCATAAAATAATGCACAGATCCTAAGTTTATTGTTCAATGAGTTTGACATGGAACCACTCTCCCAATCACAATGTAGAAACTTCTGTCACTCTAAGACATTCCCCTTTTTACAGCTTGAGTCAGTCTCACTCTGTCCTCCAGGCTGCAGTGCAGTGGCTCGCTCATGGCCACCCCAGCATCAACCTGCTAGGCTCAGCCGATCCTTCCGCCTCAGCCTTCTAAGTAGCTGAAACTACAGGCATGTGCTACCATGCCCAACTAATTTTTAGATATATTGTAGAGACAAGGTCTCACCAAGTTGCCCAGGCATCTCAAATCCCTGGGCTTAGGCAATCCTCTTGCCTCAGCCTCCCAGAAAGTGCTGGGATTACAGGGTTGAGCCACCACGCCTGGCCAGTATGTGCTGTTTTATGTCTAGCTTCTGTTGTTTAAATGTTTTTGAGATTTATCCATACATGTATTCGTAGTTTATTCTTTTTTATTCTTGAGTTTTTCTGTTTTTCTTGCATAACTCCACTCTCCTATAGATGGCCATTTAAATTATTTCCGGTTTTTTACTGTTACGAGTAAAAGTGTTATAAACTCTCTTATACAGATCTTTTTGGGCAAAAGAATAGCCTGATTATAGGGTAGATATATGTTTATAAGAAACTGACAAATGCTCCGGGCACAGTGACTCATACCTGTGATCCCAGCACTTTGGGAGGTGGAAGCAAGAGGATTGCCTGAGCACAGGGTTTCAAGACCAGCCTGGGCATCTTGGCGAGACCTTGTCTCTACAATAAATTTAATACTTAGCTGGGTGTGGTGGCATGCACTTGTGGTTCCCGCTACTTGGATGGTTGAGGTGGAAGGATCCACCTGTGCCCATCAGGTCAAGGCTGCGGTGACTGTGAGCGTGCCACTGCACTCCAGCCTGGGCAACAAGAGTGAAACTCCAATTCAAATAAAAAGAGAAACTGACAAATGGTTTAGTAAAGTGGTTGTACCATTTGACACTCTCATAAGTAACATGAGAGATGTGTCCTCACCAACATGGAGAAGGGTCATCATTTTTTTTAGTGTTCGCTGTTTTTGTGCATATAAAGTGATACATCTTTGTGGTTTTAATTTGCATAAAACTCTAATGCAAATTATGCTATGGCTGTTACTTCTGGATTCTAATCATGACTTCTGCGGTTACTACTAGCTGTGTGACCTAGGTAAAGTCACTAAGTTTAATTGCCTCATCTCCAAGACAGGACTAACATTTATCCTATAAAGTTAATGTGAAAAGAATGACTTATGAATGATAAAAGATATGTACAGATACATTCTGTGATTCCTGGCACATAGTAGGATCTCAGAAACTGATAACTGGTATCTACTTGTGGGGTACATTAATTTTGGGCAGTAAGCAGTCATTTAGACCAGTGCTCAGCAAGCTATGCCCAGGGCTTCCTGGTTTTATAAATTGCATTTTTCTGGAACATAGCCACTCCTATTTCATTCTGTAATGGTGGAGCTAAGGATTTGCAACAGAGATCCCATGGCCTGCAAAGCAAAAAATGCTTCCGCCATTTACAAAAAGAAAAAGAAAACTTGTTGAGCCTTGATTTAGACCACTGAGACTATAAATTATAATTTGTTAAATGGTTCTCCTATATTGAAATGCTAAACCTGTGTCTAGCCTAGCATACCACCGTTAACGTACCTGTTTAAATCTGGTCCTGTCTAGGTTTGATTTTCATGTTTAAAGGTTATATGTACATTTAAGAACACTTTGGAATCAGTTATTTTGGAAACAAATGGCCTAGTGTCTTTGAAGACACTACTGCCAAATAGTAACTTGCAAATACGTTTGTCTATTTTTTCTACATTAAGGGTAAAGTAGCATTTGTTAAGAGGTCATAACATTAGAGCTTGAAAGAAAAGTGCATAAATACCTCCAGGTTTGATTGGTAAGACTTTCTTGGGTATGCTTTAATTCTTAGGGCATGTCGAATAAATTATGCCTGTTAACCAGGGCAGTGTCATTCTGCCCATTTTGTTTCTTTAGGCAGCCCATGGGGGACAGGCATCTCTAATGAAAATATCTGATAGCACCTTGAAGTCTGTGCCAGGCACCTCACAACTCTCAAAGCCTGGAACCACAATGCTGAGAGTAGCAGGAGGGGTTATCACAACTGCCACTTCCCCAGCTATGGCCCTCTCAGCAAATGGTCCTGCACAACAGGTGAGAATTTGCTTGTCAGTAGAAAATCATAATGAAATCCGAAAGTAGGGCAAACATAAAAAAGATCTTCAGCAGGCATACTGGTGGACCTTTTCAAAAAATTGAAATAATTGCTTTTTAAAAAAAAAATTGAAATATAATTCACATACCATAAAATTCATCATTTTGTAGTGTACAATTTGTGGTTTTTGTCATAGTCACAGAGTTGTACAGCTATCATTGTCATCTAATCCCAAAACATTTTTATTACCCTATAACCATTAGTGGTCACTCCTCATTCCCTCCTTCCTGCAGCTCTAGGCACCCACTAATCTACTTTCTCTGTGGATTTGCCTATTCTAGACATTTCGTATAAATGTAGTCATTTAACATATGGCCTTTTGCATCTGCTTCTTTTGCTTAGCCTGACTTTTCAAGGTTCACCAGAGTTGTAGCATGCATTGATACTGCATTCCTTATGGCTGAATAAAACCCAGTTTTAGGGATATACCACATTTTGTTTATCCATTCATTGACGGACACTTGGGTTGTTTTCTACTTTATGATGATTATGAATAATGCTATGAACATTTATGTACAAGTTTTTGTATAAGCATGATTTTTGTTTCTCTTGGCTATATACCTAAGAATGGAATTGTTGGATCATATGATAACTGTATGTTTAGCATTTTGAGGAACTGCCAAACAGTTTTCCCAAGTGGCTGTGCCATTTTACATTCCCACAAACAACAATATGCGTGTTCTAATTTTTCCATATCTTCACCAACACTTATTCTTGTCCATTTTTAAAAAAATTATAGCCACCTTAGTGGATATGAAGTAGTATCTCATTGTGGTTTTGATTTGCAATTTCCTATTGGCCATTTGTTTGGCTTTTTATTATTGAATTGTATGAGTACTCTATATATTCTAGATAAAAGTCTCATCAGATTTGCAAAAGTTTTCTCCCACTCTGAGCTGTCTTTTCACCTTCCTAATGGTATCTTTTTTTTTTTTTTTTTTTTTTGAGTACTGTTGCCCGGCTGCAGTACAGTGGCATGATTATGATGGTCACAATTCACAGCAGCCTCGACCTCCTGGGCTCAGGCAAGCCTTCCACCTCAGTATCCTGAATAGCTGGAACTACAGGTGTGTACTACCACACCTGGCTAATTTTTTTTTTTTTTAAGTAGAGACAAGGTTTTGCTATGTTGCACAGGCTGATCTTGAACTCCTAGGCCCAAGCAATCCACTCGCCTCAGCCTCCCAAAGTGCTGGGATTACCGGTGTGAGTCTCTGTGAATGGCCTTGGTGGTATCCTTTGGACCACAGGTTTTTAATTTTGATAAAATCCCAATTTATCTATTTTTCTTTTATTGCTTGTTCTTTTGATATCATATCCATTGCCTAATCCTAGGTCACAAAATTTAAGCCTGTATTTTCTTCCAAGAGTTAAAATTTTAGGTTTTTAAGTTTCAGTTTTATTGTTTTAGATTTCAAATCTATTTCGAGTTAATTTTTGTATATGGTATGAGGGAGGAGCCAAGCTTCATTCTTTTGTATGTAAATATCCAGTTGGCCCAGCAACATTTGTTGAAAGACTATTTCTTCTCTGAATTGCCTTGGAACCCCATAGACTTCTATGATCTGACTTGGCTTCTCAAGCTTCATCTCCCGTGGCTTCCCCTCACATGCCTGTTCACGCGTCAGATCACTCAGCTTTGCAGTTCCTTGGACATAGTATGTTCGTTCACGCCTCTTTAACTTTCTGTATACTCTCTTCTGACAAGAAACACTCTTTCTTCTATTTCTCTGTCTCGAATCTTAAAGATTCTCCTAAAGTATCCTATGTTTTGCCTGAAGCTTTTTCTAGTACCCTTCCTTTTCTGTCCCTCGGCAGAAACCGTAACTTTCTCTCACTTGTACTGGTGGCATTTACCTGTGCCTGCTATAGCATTGTTCACACCTTGGCTACCATTTCCTTGGTGACTTTTATCTCTGAGCCCTAGCATTTACTACTGTGCCTGCCATGTAGTAGATGTTTGTTGAATGAAGTGACTGATTTTAAAACACTGTAGTGAGGCTGGGCGTGGTGGCTCAGCCTGTAATTTCAGCACTTTGGGATGCCGAGGCGAGAGGTTTGCCTGAGCCCGGGGGTTTGAGACCAGCGTGGGCAACTTGATAACACCTCATCTCTACAATAAATTACAAAAACTTGCTAGGTGTGGTGGCATGTGCCTGTAGTTTCAGCTACTTGGAAGGCTGAGATGATGGAAAGATTGCCTGAGTCCAGCAGGTGAAGGTTGCGGTCACTGTGAGCATGCCGCTGCACTCCAACCTGGGTGATGAGTGAGACTCCAACTCAAAAAAAAAACAAAAACACACACATACACACACCCACAAAAAACATTGTAGTAAGTTCTTACTAAAAAGCTCATTGTATTCCATTTTTACATTCTAAAAATATGTCTTTCTACCTTTTTTATGTTGAAATAGCCTAATGATACAACAGGTGGTGAATTTTTTTTTTTTAAAATATGATAACCCTGTGATACTCTCTCTGTTTTAAATTTTTTAATTTTCTTGGTCCATGAAACCTAAAAGTATAGGAGTCACTGAACTAGAGAAGCAATCTTCTTAAAATGGCATGACATTTAATAGGTAGTATATAACACCTAAAAGATATTATTTCTTGAGTGTGCTAAGCTGTATGGCAATCATTGTCTTAAGTTCCACAGCTTTCTAATTTCTTTATTCCTGGCCCTGTGGGTGAGCAGTCCGAAGGAATAGCTCCCAGTTCATCAACTACTGTCAGTTCTGTAATGAAAACTTCTGGGCAGCAGCAAGTGTGTATGGGCCAGGCCACCATGGGAACCTGCAAAGCGGCCACCCCCACTGTCGTCAGTGCCACGTCCCTGGTGTCTGCACCAAACCCCATCTCTGGGAAAGCCACAGTATCAGGTGAGTTGTATCATAATATCATGTCTCTCTCATTTCTCTCTTTGGGCTACAGAGTTTTTAAATTTATTTTTATTTTATTATTTTTTTGAATTGGAATCTCACTCTGTCGCCCAGACTGGAGTGCAGTGGCACTCTTACAGTCACCCAGCCTTGACCTGTTGGGCTCAGACGATCCTTCTGCCTCAGCCTTCCAAGTAGCTGGAACTATAAGTGCATGCCACCACACCCAGCTAATTTTTTAATTTATTGTGGAGATAAGTTTTCACCAGGTTGCCCAGTCAAGTCTCGAACCCCTGGGCTCAGGCAGTCCTCTCGCCTCCACCTCCCAAAGTGCGGGGATTACAGGTGTGAGCCATCGTGCCCTGCCAGATGGGCTACAATATTTTTAAGAAATACTTTGTATAATAAAGTGTTAAAAATAATTAACCTGGCTGGGAATAGTGGCTCAGGTCTATAATCCTGGCACTTTGGGAGGTTGAAGCAGGAGGGTTTCTTAAAGTCAGGATTTCAAAACCAGCCTTGGCAACATAGTGAGGCCCCATCTCTATACAAAATATATAAAAAATAATAATTGACCCAGCAGTATTTTTCTTTTTGAGTTGGAGTCTTACTCTGTCACCCAGACTGGAGTGCAGTGGCCCTTCCCGGCCACCGCAGCCTCAACCTGCTGGGCTCCAGTGATCCTTCCACCTCAGCCTTCCAAGTAGCTGGAACTACAGGCGTGTGCTACCACACCTGGCTAAGTTTTTGATTTATTGTAGAAATGAGATTTCACCAAGTTGGCCCAGGCAGGTCTCGAACCCGCGGGCTCAAGCAGTTCACTCACCTCGGCCTCCCAAAGCGTGGGATTACAGGCTGAGCCACCAAGCCTGGCTAGTATTTTTCATATTGCTGCATTTTAGAAATGTTATTCTTATTTAAAATCTATATATTTTTAAATATTTATAAAGTTTATATTATAGAATATTTATAAAGTTTATATTATAAAGTTTATATTAAATATAAATTTTTAAATATTTATAAAGTTATTCTTATTTAAAATCTATATATTTTTGTCTGAGACTTTAAATGTATCACTTAAAGATTAATATTTGAATTCGTAAATGATAATAAAGCCTTAGCCACTCAGAACCCTGTTGGGTGTTATAGCTGTTTTTATAATGTAATGTTGTAGAGAACCGTGAGTTGGCTCTCCTTGAAGTACCAATCCTTTTTTTTTTTTGAGTCATGATTTCACTCTGTCACCTAAACTAGAGTACAGTAGCATAATCCATAGCTCACTGTAGCCTCGAACTCCTAAGCTCAAGGGATTCTTCCATCCCTTCTGCTCCAGCCTACCAAGTAGCTAGGATTGCAGTCACACCACTACCATGCCCAGCAAAGTTATGGTTTTTTTTAAGACAAGGTTTCACTATGTTGCCCAGGCAAGTCTGGAACTCTTGGCCTCAAGTGATTCTCTGCCTTGGCTTCTCAAAGTGCTGGGATTACAGGCATGAGCCACCATGCCTGACTTTTTTTTTTAAATGATTAATTTTGAATGAAACTCATTATAAAACATATTCCTTTCTTTGCTTTCTTTTAAACGAAATATATAAGATACGCATTAACGTAATGACTTCGAGTCATAATTTTTAACATTAGTTATTATATTGGGTAGTGTTAAGAGTGTATGATTGAGGTCTGGTAGGAGCTTGATATCTTTGTGCTTTCTCTAAATGGCTACAGAAAAGTATTCATTTTACTTCTTTGAGTAACAGAGAGCACAGATCCTGAGGCCACATTGCCTTAGTTGAAATAATTTGCTTCAGTTTCTCAGCTGTAAAATGAGGTTGATGGTATTAAATGAGTTAATATGTAAATGCGTAGAATACTGTCTGGTGTATAGTAGCTGTTATACTCATATAAATAATTGCTGTTATCATCATGTCATCATTTTTGTTGTTAGCCCATAATCCCTTAACTGCATTTTAAAATCCAAAAAGCTGTGAAAACCAAAGACCTTATTTTTTAAAACATATTGTAGGGCACAATTTGACCTCTGTCGACAGCCTGTTTATACTAATTGCTGTGAATATTCATGTGTTTTTCCACAGAATTATTGTGTTTGATTACATGATGCTGTCTCAGAGTCCAGGGAGCTGATAAAATATACAGCTTTGCTTCCCAAACTTAAAAGATCTGTTTTGTTTTTGTTTTTCTATAATATGATATAGACATCTACTTCTGAAAAACACAATAAAAATGTTGCAGCAATGCCAGACTGTTAGAAAATTTTCTAAACACTATTAATTTCTATGTAGTCTTTTTGCTGATTGATAACAACCAGTTTACCAGCTGGCACTGGTCTACAGAAAAAGCTGCATCACTAAGCTTACACACATACACATCCCTCACTACCTTTGGATAAGAGACTATGGATATTGTTGTCATTATTGTTATCACTTTATCACATAGCACCAAAGCAAGCCCCTGTGTCTTGTTTATTGTTTGGATATAAAACAAAAGGTTAAGACTGATGGTATTTTTCCTGTGATTCTCACCTCCCAGTTAAAATTGACCAGGTTTAGCTGAGCATGGTGGCTCAGCCTGTAATCTCAGTGCTTTGGGAGGTGGAGGAGAGGGCATTGTCTGAGCTCAGGGTTCAAGACCAGCCTGGTATGGGGAGCCAGCCCCCCAAAAGAGATTTAGAGGGTCCCTGGAAGGTGGGGCAGCGTCGGCGAATATTCTGGAGAAATAGAAGGGAAGAAAGAGACTGAACTCTGTCTAGTGCAGAAGCCGATTCTGTAGTAGGGATAGATATTTAAAAAGCAAAATGGAGGCATAGATATAAAGAGGAAGAAAGAGAAAGAAAGAAAGTGGACAACTGTTCAGTGAAATGAGCAGAAGCCGTTTATTGGGAACAAACGTGAATCTTGTATCCCAAATTTTCACATGTCAAATCACAAGACTTTCACATGGGCACAAAGCCAGGTAGGTGAGGGGCGTCCCCCACCCACCAGGCGTTTCCTTAGGAATGAGGAAGGGCAACCCCAATCAAATCACAAGAGTTTACATGAACACAAAGCCAGGTGGGTGGAGGGCATCCTCACCCACCAGGCGTTTTCCTTAGGATGAGAAAGGACAATCTTAATCAAATCACAAGAGTTTACATGAACACAAAGCCAGGTGCATGGGGGGGCATCCCCGCCCACCAGGCGTTTCCCCCCAAGCATGAGGAAGGACAATCCCAAAATTATCTCACTGTTCCTTATGCTTGGTTTACGTTCCTCAAAACAACAGTTTTAATATCATAAAATCCTAATTATCAATAACTTCTAAAACTTATGCATACCCAACACCTAATGACTGACTTAAATCCTAATACCTTTCTATTCTGTGCTAACTTTACCCGTACTATAAAAAAACTCTTAATTGTAGGTCAGACCAGTTCCTAAAGAATGTGACCCAGTCCAAAATGGACGCTGGGCCCTTGGGAATGTGGCCCAGCCCAAAGTTCATGCTGGGCCATTTCTGGTAACCCTAGATAACCATCTCATGCTGGAAACAGCTCTCTAAATGTATATACTAATTCTACAAATATATTTTTAAATCTTATAAAGAAGCTTGTATTACGTATAAGGCTCCCAAATGTGATCTGAGTTTGAACTGTGTTAAGTTTAAAGCCGAAACCGCAGTCTGTGAGAAGCAGGAACAATGGATCCCTAGAGTCAGCCATGCCTGTCATATACTCAGAACTTCATGCTTAGATCGTTAAAATCCCTACCAGTGGGTAATGCTAAACAACAAGGAAAGGAGGAGGGAATGGGCCTTCAGCTCCTGAACCAGCCTGGTGGTCTCAGGGTCCGCAGCCTGCCTGGATCCCTAACGCTCAGGCAGGCCTCCACGGCTGGCTCCCAACAGCCTGGGAAACTTGACGAGACATTGTTTCTACAATAAATCAAAAAATTAGCTGGGCATGGTGGCACATGCCTGTAGTTCCAGCTACTTGGAAGGCTGAGGCAGAAGGATCGCTTGGGCCTAGCAGATTGAGGCTGCGTTGGCTGTAAGTGTGCCACTGCACTCTAACCTGGGTGACAGACTCTGACTCAAAAAAAAATAAAATTGACCAGGTTCCAGTGTAGGGACTCTACTGACTGATTCGTTTTATTCGAGGCCCTGTGTTGGGTGCTAGAGTAGAAGTTGTAAAAATGGAAGAAATTCTTACAAGCGGTGAATGGTGTCCCATCTTCCTTTTTCGGTTCAGGTTTTAAGCATGAGTAGATGAAGTCTCCCTGTTGTAAGTTCTAGTTTCCTAAGGTACTGCTGGTAAAACTTTCTGTATAACATTTTCACAAAAGGATCAAACTGTTTCCTGCTGAAAACCAGCAATTTTTAAATTAAGTTTTTCATGTGCATTGTAAACTGTCAGACAAGGTCCTACTGGGTCAGAAGCAGCTGTGAATGAGGGAGAGAGCACATGGGGATGTGGTCAGAACATGCAAGGCCTGTGTGAAGCATAGTAAGGACTTTTTGACTCCAGGGCAAGCCACTGAAGGATTTTCAGCTAGAGAGGAACATGGTCTGCCTTACCTTAGTAGGATTCTAGGGAAAAATTACTTTCAGTCTAGAATTCTCTAGTTAGCGAGATCATTACTGAATGAGGGTAGAGATATTTCTGACAGGCAAAGTTTCAAATGTGTTTCCTATGTACTTTGTTCAGACATTGCTAAAATATGTGTTTTATCAGAAGGCTTCCTGAGGTATTAACCAAGAAAGAGAAAGAAAATAGAAGATCTAACCTAGAAGGAAAGCAGAGAAACTTTTCGAGATGACAGGGAAGAGGTGTTCCCAAAATGAGAGTTTTGTGGCAGGCCTAGACAGCAGCAGGCTACACAAGCAGATCAGAGTGCACCAGGGGGACTCTTGTAAGAAATGGGACTGTAATTTATGTAGAAGATTTGACTGTGTGGAGAGTTGTACTAAGGAGTGGCTTACAGAGTTCCTAAAGGAAATGGGAAGACTTAGTAAGATGTTGAAAGAAAACTAAGCAAATGAAAGAGGAGGAAATTGTTAACTCCAGAAAGTAAGATGTAACCAGAGTATCATGGTATATTTCTTTGGATCAACAGAGAACAACATTGGAGTACAGGTGCTCCTCAGTTTACAGTGGGGTTACATCCCAGTAAACCCGTTGAAAATGCTTACGTATTTTAAAGAACATGGCTGACTGGGAGCTGTGGCTCATGGCCACTGCCCGGCATCACAAGAGAAGTCATGGTTTCGACTGAATGTATGTCACTTTCACCCCATCAGAAAGTCAGAAAATCGTAAGGGAGCATCCGTACAGAGAGAGTGTAAATGCCTCAAAAAGCTTGTCTATCCTAATAGGAAGTCATAGGTAACATGAAAAATTGATAAACCAAGACCTGTAATAGACATGTTTTTAAAATACTGAGGTAAATATTAAAAGGGAGAACTGGAAGAGTTAGAAGTGGATGCTTTTGGGGAACTAGATGAGAACTGGGAGGTGGAGCAAGGGGTAGCTGTGATTAGTTATAAGCTTTTTAGGACTTTTTGTTTTTCAGTGGATCAACATATAATATTTTCATAAAAATATGAAAACACCAGGTCATTATTGTATTCCCTAGGCCATGTCTCGTTAAGTACTTATTACTTGACTGATTTAACATTCCTCTATTCCAAAGAAAGATTTTCCTGTTTATTTAAGGCCTTGTTCTAGAAAATATTTAAGATGATTCCTTCCTTAGTTCAAGCCAACTGCTTTGCAGTTTCTTAAAATACCTTTAGCTGCTGGTAATGTTTTTAAGTAGTTGTTACAACATATACTTGTATTTTTTGTGTCTTGTGTGCTCTTTCACAGTAAAGGTCCTTTGAGTCTTGTTTTGTTTTACTGCCCATCTATGTAACTGGAATAATAGTTTTGTAATAAAAATGGAAGGGTGGAAATTGCCTTTGAAATAAATGAGAGGTGACCATTTCTAAAATGATAGAGAACATCTGATGTTTGAAAAATAAGGGCTGTGTAGAGATAAGAAATGACAAAATGTGGTATGTAGACAGATGGAAGTATTGGATATGTAGGGACAGTGTGAAGGAGAGGCAGACAAATTGGGACCAGATTAAAATGGACCCTGGATGCTTTGAAGCTAATTTTGGAAATATTTTTTAGGCAGTCAAAAGAGCCAAGATAGGTTTTTAAGTTGGATAGTCATACCTTTCCACATTAAAATACAAAGTTTTACATCCAGTTTGTACATGTCACAGCTATGTGCAAAGCAAATAAATTGCCACAGAAAACAAACGTGGAAAAGAACTATATCAAAATGTTAGTACTGATTATCTCTACAGTAGGACTTCTGTAGGTGATTTTTTTTTCCTCCTTTCTATTAGTCCTACTTTCGCAAAAAAAAAAATCTGTATTTATGGTTGAGGGATAAGAACACTTTAAAAATAAACCATTATTTTATATTTTATTGCAAAGTGTGCAGCATCTGTTGCCTCGTGCTTCTCACACTTTATTTACTGGAAAGGCAAATGTCCTAGAAACTTCCTCTCTGAGAAAATATGAGTGGCAAAGAGGGTGAGGAACTTTACATAAGCATCTGATCTTCAGCTTGCACCATGGGGGATACCTTTTGTAAGAATTAGGACTGTAAATTTTGTAGGTAAACCTTATCTTTGCATTTCTTTTAGGATTATTGAAGATTCACTCCAGTCAGTCCAATCCCCAGCAGGCAGTCCTGACAATTCCCAGCCAGCTCAAACCACTCAGTGTAAATACCTCTGGAGGTGTGCAGACCATATTGATGCCTGTGAACAAAGGTAAGTGCCAGTCACCAACGAGCACACCATACTGTGGCTGTTTGCAAGTGTGTCACTATTCTACCAATTGGTGACTGCTTCCCTTGGACAGCCTGCTCTGTAGTCACGGTACTTGCTGGCACCCTGAACTCTAGGGCACCAGTGCTTGGACTGAAAGTAAAAGCTCAGGTGATCCATTGACTGCTAAATAGCTGCTCATATCTAAAGTCAAGTTGAGGGGGTACATTTTAAACATTATGAGAATTTAAGACTGTTGAACTTTTATTTTCTTCGTTTAGTGGTAAGCACCCATTTCCACAGTTGAAGATATAACTCAGTTACCCTGATACCTAAGAATAAACAGCCCACCTTGTCAGATCACTGTATTTAAAAACATTCTTAACCATTCTTTTTGTCCTGATGTTGTTTAATGCTGTTAGTTTAATATGGGACTGTCAGCTGGGAGTTAGATCATCCTCATTAAAAATAATTTCTGTATGTGTTCTATTCTCCCTCCTCTTTTGCCCTTTAGTGGTTCAGTCATTTTCTGCCAGCAAGCCACCTACCATTCTGCCTATAGCCACCCCAACTCCAGTTGTCTCCAGCTCTGCTCCAGCAGCTGTTGCAAAAGGTATGTAGGATCTCACAGTATTATTGTCCAGAATTTTTTTGCAGAGCATTGCTGTAATCTGAGGCCTTTGAATTGTCAGCATCTGTGAATCAGTCACTTGGCAAATATGTACTGAATGCTTATCTAGTAGACTTGACATTGAGGGAATTCCAGAGGCGCATATAGCATCACTTCTGCGTCTGGTGATTTATAATCAGGTTATAGAGACCTGCCTGTAGACAGCAAACAGTGATTGATAAGCACAAGTGGTCTTGAAAATGATTGCTGAGGTTCTGCAGTCTGGAATCTGATGAGGGTTGGCAAAGTGTGGAGGTGGGCAGAGTTTTGTGTGGGGTCTGAATTATAGCCTGCACTTTAAAGAGTAGAGCTTTTTTAGCTGGAAAGATGTCAAGGGAGTTAGATCAGTAGAGACAAAGACTCGCGAGGGCTTGTTTGGGGGCAGTAGGCCAATTAGAGGGACTTACCTGGGGAGTACAGTGGTACAGTGGAGTTTTAGGTGCCAGACTTCAGCAAACTGGCAGTGGGGAATATTTCTAACCACAAGAGTAGGTCAAGATAGTGCATGGATTATACCAGTGGTCCCCAACCTTTTTGGCGTCGGGGACTGGTTTCATGGAAGAGTTTCTGCAGAGACAGTGTGGGGGGAATCATCGGGCATTAGATTTTCATAAGGAGCACACGACCTAGACTCCCTCACATGCACAGTTCACAGTAGAGTTCACGCCCCTATGAGAATCTATCTGTAACACTGCTGCTGATCTAACAGGAGGCGGAGCTCTGCTCACCCGCTGCTCACCTCCTGTTGGGTGGCCCAGTTCCTAACAGGCCACAGATCAGTACTGTCCACAGCCTGGAGGTAGAGGACCCTGGATTAGAGCAACACATTTGAAAGCTGTAACATCTCCAAATGATGATAATGACCAGGTACAGTTATTGACGCCTGTAATCCCAGCACTTTGGGAGGCAGGGGTGAGAGGATTGCCTGAGTCTAAGGGTTTGAGACCAGCCTGGGCAACCTGGCAAGACATCATGTCTACAGTAAATGAAAAAAATTAGCCAGGTATGGTGGCGCATGCCTGTCGTTCCAGCTACTTGGAAGGCTGAGGCAGAAGGATCACCTGAACCCAGCATGTCGAGGCTACAGTGGCCAAGAGTGTGCCACTGCCCTCCAGCCTGGGTGAAAGAGTGAGACTCCTACTCAAAAAAAAAAAGGAAGAGCCCACAGATTACCATGCTAGCTGCTTTATATATATCATTCTTATTCAGTATTTTAGCACAGCCCAGTTATGATATTAAGTATGTACATCCCAAAATTAGAATTTGAAATATGTCTGTTCATTCCCATGGCAGGCTGGTTTTCAGGTGTGCCAGGATCTCATCATAGTCTCGGAAAGAGGTGGATTTGTAACTTACTAAATGACCACCTAAAGCAGGGTATAGCCAACTACTGTCCACTACCTGTTTTTGTGAGTACAGCTTTATTGGCACACAGCCATGTCCATTCATCCACACAGTCTCCCAATGCCTTCATGTACAACCACAGAGTTCTACAGAGATCCAGTCAACCACAAATCCTGTTTACTGATGAGCCCTTTATTGAAAAGGTTTGCCAACCCCTAATCAAACTCTAACCCATAAAGGAAATGCAAATTAAAACCATAGTGATCCACCAGAACCCCCAGATTGAAAGTCCTAATTCCAAGTGTTGACAAGGATGTGGAGTATCAGGAACTTACGTACACTGCTGGTGGGACTATAAATTGATATAATCACTTTGGAAGCCAGTTCAATGGTTTCCAATAAAGTTAAGCAACATCTGCTCTCTGTTCCAGCAATTGCGCTTCTAGGAAATGAGTGCATACATCTACCAGAAGACACAAGAGTGCTCACTGCATTGTTATTCATAATGGCTATACTGATGCTCACACAAGAGTGTGCACAGTGTGACCAGTTATATGAAATTCAAAATCCAAAATGGGCCGAAGGTGGATTGCTTTGTCAGGGAGGAGCTGCCAGAAGCACAGGGACCCAGTGTGAGGCCGGCAGGCAGGCATCTTGGTTTGAGTGGGGGCTATGTGAGCATGTGTAGGTAACATGTATTGAACTTGATATCTGTGCACTTAATACAAGTTATACATCAATGACAAGAGGGGGGGGAAATGTACTTATGTGTCTCATTTGTAGACCCCCGTTATGTAGGGAACTATTGGAGAACACTGAGTAGGGAAATGACACTACATAGATGCTTTGGGAAAATTATTTGGTGCTTATGTGCAAGGTAGGTTGTCAGGGTGAGAGTGGACGCAGGGAAGCTTGTGCCAAAGCAGCAAGAGTGTGGTCATGGCGTTCTGAAGGAAGATGACTGTCCATGGAAGGACAGCACATGCACCCGAGACATAGCTGTCTTCCATCAGTAGACTTAGTAATAAAAGCCTGGTGTGATTAACTTGGAAATTTCCAGACACAGTAGCTCTAATTTTTGCTTGCATCTCAGAGCACTAAGATAATGCTGAAAGTTGGTAAACTAGCTGGAGAGATATCAAAAAGATCATAATATTAGAACTTAGAACAAGTCAGCATTGTATTTTAATGTAGCATTGTTTAGTTCTGGGAGGGAGGCTCACATAGCAGTGTGGGGACCTTTTTAAGAAATATCTAAAAAGCCATTTTATTGCCTCTGCCTTGTCATGAATCTGGAGTTGCTTCCCCCACCCCCCAACCCAGGCTAACAGCTCTTCCTTTGTCTGCTGACCCTGTGATGACAGGAGCCATCTCAGTCTCCTGGCTGTGTCCCTACAACAGCTGGAGTGGCAGTTTCCTCACTGAGCTTCCATGGAAGAGCTTTGTTTGTGCCTGCATGTGTCCTTCTACTGCAGAAACCTGACAGCTGTCTCTTTGTTCTCTTTCCGTGTAGTGAAGACTGAACCAGAAACACCTGGGCCGAGCTGCATCTCTCAGGAGGGCCAGACAGCAGTGAAAACAGAAGAAAGTTCTGAGCTGGGAAACTATGTTATTAAGTAATTATTTCTGTCTTTTCTAAAGGAATTCTGCTTTGGGTGTTTGTATGGCACTTTAAAAATCATGCTGACTAAGGCAGGAGTATCACTTGAGGCCAGGAGTTTGAGACCAGCCCGGGCAACATAGCAGGACCCCCATCTGTACAGAAAAAATTTAAAAATTAGCCAGACATGGTGGCACATACCTATAATCCCAGCTACGTGGGAGGCTGAGGCAGGAGGATTCTTGAGCCCAGTAGATTGAGGCTGCAGTGAGCCATGATTGAGCCACGGTACTCCAGCTTGGAGCAAGACCCTGTCTCTTAAAAAAAAAAAAAATTTTTTTTTTTTTTGAGTTGGAGTCTCACTCCGGAGCCCAGACTGGAGTACAGTGTCTGCTCCCGGGCCACCGCAGCCTCGACCTGCTGGGCTCCAGCGATCCTTCCGCCTCAACCTTCCAAGTAGCCGGAACTTCACGCGCGTGCTACCACGCTCGGCTAATTTTTGACTTATTGTAGAGATGTGGTCTCGCCAAGTTGCCCGGGTGGGTCTCAAACCTGCGGGCTCAGGCAGTCCACTCACCTCGGCCTCCCGAAGCGCTAGAATTACAGGCTGAGCCACCAAGCCCGGCAAAAATTTTTTTTTTATAAGTTAATAAAATCAACCAGGTACAGTGGCTCACGCCTGTAATCCCAGCAATTTGGGAGGCAGAGGTGAGAGGTTGCATGAGTTCAGGGGTTTGAGACCAGCCCAGCCAACTAGGTGAAACCTTGTCTCTACAATAAGTCAAAAAATTAGCGAGGCATGGTGGCACATGCCTGTGGTTCCAGCTACTTGGAAGGCTGAGATAAAAGGATCACCCAGCAGGTTGAGGCTGCAGTGGTCATGAGCATGCTTGTGACTTGGGGGTACCACTCAGTCTGTAGCCCTAGAAGCATCAGGTGGCATCACAAACCTCCCTTTAGTTGAACTCACCAGTTTGTGCTTTCTCTGCTGAATCCCTGGGGATGAAATTTTTCATGGTGTAATCACTCAGGTGTGACACATTTCATACCTACTTAATCTTATTCAGCTGCCTCTTCATGGGCATTACACACTGTTCTTCTAAAAATGCTTTCTAAGGTTCTAATTTCCAAATCAGGAACCCACCTCTGATCATGTACTTTGAAATATCTCAAACTGCTGGGGACAACTTGGGCCATTTTGACATTATAGATGGAGATATGAACTACAGTAACCCTTCCATGGGCATTTTTATGATAGAATTTTTCTGCTCTAGTAGCGGTCACATTGCAAAAAGATTATGTTGCTTTTTAATTTTAAAATACAGACAAAATGTCCATATGCAGTGAACATGGAGTCTTATCTGTCTACTTAGTCTTGACATTTTCTTTTTAAGCATAGAACACTCTTTATTAAAAAAAAAAAAAGACTATCTTTGGAATGAAAGACATACCAATATAATGGTTTTAAATTATAATTTCCTTAAAAAGGGGGAATTATAATACACATACATAAAATGTATATGTATGTATATGACTAAAAATTGCTACATGTATTTAATTTATTGCCTTATTTTTATCCTCAGGATAGACCACTTGGAGACTATCCAACAACTCTTAACAGCAATAGTAAAGAAGATTCCATTAATCACTGCAAAAAGTAAGACAATTGTACTGAATATATGGGTATATTTTTTAAAGCTATGAATTTAGCATGTTGAATCAATTTAAATCACTTGGGATTGTAAATTAATACTTATGTGACAATTATCTTAGGAGGTTTTAATGAGAGATACCGCTCATTTGCAGGGGTTTCAGGATTCACATCCAGGTAGTCTTTTACTCTTCACTGTGTGTGATCCGTAGAAGGAATGTTTTGCATTTTTTATATGTAAATCATAAATCATTGTGTATGTTAATTTAGGCTTTGCATTCGTGTTTATTGTTTATTAGTAAGGAAGTGAGTTTGCCTTTTCCTGCAGCATACCAGCCCCTCTGCAGGCTCCTTCTCTTTACTGTCTTATTTAATCATAGTCTCTTGTGTGGTGGGTGGTGTCATCACTGTTTTACAGATGAGATTAAGTAACTTGCTTAATAAGCTCATAGAGCTATGGTGGTGAGGCAGGATACCAGTTTTATTCACCTTTTTTTAGATTAAAAAAAGATTAATAGTCTTAAAGATTAACGGTCTTAAAGATTAACGGTCTTAAAGCTTATTCAGCTTTCAGACCGTTAATCTTTACTTGAAAACTCAGTGTTACTCACTTTGTAGAAATGCATGATTTTTAAGACCTCCAAAAGTGGTCTGCTGTGTCACCACCGCCCATTGTTAGCAAGACTGAATCATTTGCTTCTTAGCCCCCGTTGTTCTGACAGAATTGATAGCCATTACTGAGGGACTGACAGCCTGTGGACATGCAGGAGTATGCTCACAGGCACAATCACATGAACATTTAGAGAGAAGGCAGAAGGCATTTGTGTGTATCACTTGCATTCATAGGAATATGAAAACAGTAGGCCAGATCCAACCACCCGTCTTATTTTTTGCAACTATAATTATAAGAAAAGAAACGATCTCTTTTTTTCTCAAAGTTCGGGGATCATTTTGAGATAGCTCCAAGTAAACTTTCAGTGGCAATTTCCCCACCCAACCAAAAAAAGATTCAAAAATCCATCTCTTTTTAAAAATGTAGATGCAGCCGGGCTTGGTGGCTCAGCCTGTAATCCCACTTTGGGAGGCTGAGGTGAGTGGATTGCCTGAGCCCACGGGTTCGAGACCTGCCTGGACAACTTGGTGAGACCTCATCTCTACAATAAATCAAAAATTAGCCGGGTGTGGTAGCACATGCCTGTAGTTCCAGCTACTTGGAAGGCTGAGGTGGAAGGATCGCCGGAGCCCAGCAGGTCGAGGCTGCGGTGGCCAGGAGCAGCCACTGCACTCCAGTCTGGGCGACAGAGTGAGACTTTAACTCAATCAATCAATCAATCAATCAAATAAAAATGTAGATACAAATACAGAATAGGCAGTTCAGAAACATCTTTCCCAACTTTCTTATTTTATAGATAAGAAAACTAAAGCCCAGAGAGGTGCTATGGGTTGCCCAAGGCCACTTAGTGAGTTAATGGCAAAGCCAGGACTCCTAGTTTTAATAGCTTTATGACAACAGGTACTGTTCTGTATCAAAGAAGCGAGTTCCCAAGGAGGGGTGTTGTCTTGAGTCCCCACAAATGAGATGCCTTCTCTTTTAAGGAGAAGCCCTCCTGTGTTACTCTGCATCTGAGCTTGCCCAGTGAGAAAAGAGGTCTGAAGAATTTTGGATGTGCCTCTGGCAAATAGGATGTGATTTGAATCATAACGGCTTTATTCAGAGTTTGCTGGATATGTGCATTCTAGGTGAAGATGCCAGCTGCTTTTCTGCAAAGTCTGTTGAGCAGTATTATGGCTGGAACATTGGAAAAAGACGAGCTGCTGAGGTAATCCCATGTCCACATATCTGGCTCTTGGGCCACCCCACGAGCCTGTGGAAGAAGAACAGAAATGCCAGTGTATTCTAGCTGCCTCTGTAAACCTTGTCATTGGAACAATGATCACATCTGTAGCATATTTTGTTAGAATATTTGATGTTAGAATATTTTCCTCAGTTAAAAATCTTACTTTTCAAAGACCTGCAATCTATCCTTTGAAAGGCCTATTTTTGTTTTCCTGCATCGGTAGAAACATCCTCACATTTTCTAAAAGCTTTTCACGAATTTCACAATATTCTAATGAGTTCAACTACTTACCCACTCTTAGCAGTGTGGCAGCTGCTCTGCCAGGTGTAGTGTGGCTTTAAGAAGGGGAAACAGCTGTGTGTGATGGCTCATGCCTGTAATCCTAGCACTTTGGGAGGCTGAGGTGAGAAGATTGCCTGAGCCCAGGGTTTCAAGACCAGCCTTGATAACTTGGCAAGACCTCATCTCTACAATAAATTTAAAAAATTAGTCAGGCATGGTGGCACGTGCCTGTAGTTCCAGCTACTAGGGAGGCTGAGGTGGAAGGATTGCCTGAGCCCAGTAGGCAGAGACTGTGCTGGCTATGGGCGGCAGAGTGAGACTCCTACTAAAAAAAAGGGGGACGGGGGATACAGCATGTGTATATGCCTATTTAGGAAGCAGTGCAGAGTCGTGGTTGGGTTGGGGAAAGTTGAGGAAGAAGAGTGGAAGATCAGAGTCTGACATGTTGGCATGGTGACTTACAGTTGCATAGTAGTATGTAGCTATTGAAGGATTGCATTATGGTTCAAAATAATTTTTTTTTAAGTGGCAAAGAGCAATGACAATGCGAAAAGTCTTACAAGAAATTCTGGAGAAGAACTCAAGATTTCACCACCTGACTCCCCTCAAAACCAAGCACATTGCACACTGGTGTCGCTGTCATGGCTATACCCCACCAGATCCAGAGAGCCTGCGTAATGACGGGGACTCAATTGAGGACGTGCTGACCCAGATTGACAGCGAGCCAGGTGAGCCTTGGGCAGAGCCACCCAAGCACCCCTGGCAGCCTGGAGTGTGTCTGCCACGGAGCACGTGGCTCTCTTCACCTCTGCTACTCTGTGCCCACCTGAGCCCTTGGAAGAGCTGCTGTGGAGAACACGAGCCTTTGCCTGCTTCTTGCTATGGCCCCCAGGATTAGCTAGTCCCTAGAACTGTTTGTACCAAGTAGTTCGAGTGTTGTGCCCCAGCCAGGAATGTTCTGACCCATGCCAACCAGCAGGTGCACACTATCTGTTTGGGAGTCCCCTCCTCAGCATCATTTCTTCTTTCCAGACGTTTAATCCACCTCCTTTCCTCCAGACAGAAATGACTTCTTCCATTATGACTTTAGGGACCACCTCTCCCTCGTAGACAAGTCTGTGTCATTTCCGTGAAGATGGGCCTGTGCTCATCTGTACTATCTTTAAACCTAGTGAGGAGAGTAGCCACCATCCAGTGTTTGCAACGCAGGTGACAACGCACAGTGTTGCAGGTGAAAATGAATTGGGCTTTATGGTGAAGAAGCAGACAGCTGCTGTGTGGCCAGAGGCTAGCGGGCAGGGCATAAAAGGTTTGTGGGGAGAAAAAGCATTTGAGTTTCACATTACAGGATAAGAAGGGGTGCTTTCTTGCCCCAACTCATTTAGGTAGAAAAATAAGCTCCCCTCCCTGGGGACCCTGGAGCACAGAAGAAGGGGCCCTTTTAAAATTCAGGGCAGCAGCCTGGGCAACGTGGCAAAACCTTGTCTCTACAATGAATAAAAACAAAAATTAGCCAGGCGTGGTGGTGCACGCCTATAGTTCCAGCTACTTGGAAGGCTGCGGTAGAAGGGTCGCCTGAGCTCAGCAGGTCGAGGTTATGGTAACTGTGATCGTGCCACTGCACTCCTGCCTGGGTGACAGAGTGAGTCTCTGATTCAAATAAAACTTAGTGCAAGTCTCGTTTTCTCCATGAGGCGTCCTGAGAGCCTGATGCAGATGACCTCTTTCTGATGTCCTGTAACACCTAGGTAAAAGTACCGTGAGGGTTTGCTTGACTTCTTTGGAGAGCAGAGATCATACTGATCACCTCTGTGCTCCCGGGATTCTCTGTGTATGTGTATATAGGCTTGTTGTTAACATGACTGATTATACATGTTCTCTAACTTAGGGTGGTTCGATTTATGAATTTTTGACTTTATGATGGCACGAAAGTGATAGGCACTCAGTATGCTCCTTGACTTACGATTGGCTTGTGTCCAGATGAGCCCATCATGAGATAACATCATAAATAAAAAATGTACTTCATCTTAACAACATTTTCAGCTTAGGGTGGGTTTACTGAGACATATCCCCATCATAAATTGAGGCGCATCTGTGATTTGTTAGGGCCCAGTTGTTTAAACAAAAGTCCTGGAGCTGGATGTTCTGCCACCGTCTTACTGGTGCTTTTTAGCCCTTCTTACATCTAGTCTGAACCTCACAGACCATCGACAATGTGAATGGGTGGACTAGACTTGGCACCAAAGTCCCAACACCCTTTGTGCCACTTTGTATGAATCACCTTATTGAAGACTGGATGCCGGTGTACATCGAAATGTTAACAGTCCTGCTCTCTGAGCAGTGAGAATATGGGTGATTTATATTTTCTTCCCTCTGCATTTCTGCATTTTCCAGATTTAAAAGGTGAAGAAAAATCATTTGAGTCGTTAATACTCAGGGGGTGGGGCGTGACCTGGTTCTTGATGGTAGAAGTCTTAAATGGCAGTTACTTCACATAAATCACATACAATATGAGAGACAAGACGCCTGTCTTGTGCTTTAAAAACCTCATGAATTACTGGTTCTCATCATTATAGATCTGTAGGGTTGTAGAGCTGGAAAGAAGGTCAGCTCCCTTGATACTTGTCTCCCTTCCTCAGACTGATGGTCTTGTGGAGATTGAAAGTCCTTTTCTACTGTCACCACAGTTGTCATAAGCCTGATTCCCTCTCATTTAGAGTGCCCATCATCATTCTCCTCTGCTGACAGCCTGTGCCGGAAACTGGAGGACCTGCAGCAGTTTCAGAAAAGAGAGCCCGAGAATGAGGAGGAGGTGGACATCCTCAGCCTCGCAGAGCCATTAAAGATAAACATCAAAAAAGAGCAGGAAGAGAAACAAGAAGAAGTGAAATTCTACCTGCCACCAACCCCAGGGTCGGAATTTATTGGTGATGTCACCCAGAAGGTAGGGGGCTGTGGATTCTCTTCTGCCTGGTAAACCAAGGTATGCTTTCAGGGCCCTACCTTGCCACAGCAGAGCCTTGGCCAAGAACACTGATGCCTGTGGAAAGGTCACTTGTTGAACATGGGCTTGAAGCAGAGCTGGCTGGGCATAGGGCATTACTTTTCATCTTTTTTTTTCTTATCTGCCCCAGGAGAAACACCCTTCTTGGGCATGTCATGATATTCCCAAGTGGTACTTCAGTGAGTCATCTCTCCCTGACATTGCCATAGCTCTGAGGGCCCTGCCTTTGGTGCAGGTGAGATGCTCACTGCCTGTGAGGAGAGAGTATGTGTCCACCCCAGTGAAGCGTAGCAGTTCCTTGTTAGCTGCCACCTACCAGCTGCTCGGGACCCAAAGTGAAAGACTGTGTCTGTTTCACCTGCAGAATGGAATGAAGAGTGGGGAGGATGCAGTTTCCAAGTGCACCTTCTTCACCTCTTGCCAGCAGGGCCTTTGAGTCTGATACCAGACCCTCCAAAGTGTTGATCCTACCATCAGAATCCATGACCCATTTTGACCATGTTCTCCTGTGAAGGAGATTTGGGAGTAAAACAGGTCTCCAATAGCATTTTAGAAAATCTGTCAGAAACATGGAGAAAGCAGATACCACCTTTCAACTGTAATACGCATATTTTGTACTTCCCAATGAGTTTTATCCAGTGTGTGTATGGCGTCCTTCTTCCACCCTTTCTGGGTGTCAGAGAGGTCTGCTTGTTTGGAAAGAACTGTTGTTAATGTGGACATAAAAACAGATGGCTTTCTTCTGCTTTTTCAGATCGGGATCACCCTGCAACCCGTGGCGCTCCATAGGAACGTGTACGCATCTGTGGTGGAGGACATGATCCTGAAGGTGGGTTTCTGCTGGCTCCAGGAGGCCAGAGGTTGCTGCCCTGAGGGGCGGCCAGGCAGGATGGTGGCATCCAGGCAGTGTTGGGTAAGGGACAAGGACAGAAAAGGAAGGGAGCTGAATAAGCTTTTAAATTTCTCGTCTTACTCAGGCTTGGGGGTTTCTTTTTTTTCTTCTGATTTTTAAATAGATACTGTGTTTCCTCTGAATATTGAAGCTTCTATACAAGTTCTTATGCTAATGTTACTCTGAAGATCCTTTTTTTTTGAGTTGGAGTCTCCCTTTGTCGCCCAGGCTGGAGTGCGGTGGCGCAACCTCCACCTGCTGGACTTAGGTGATCCTTCCACCTCAGCCTTCCAAGTAGCCACCATACCCAACTGATTTTTTGTAGAAACGAGGTCTCGCCAAGTTGCCCAGGCTGTTCTCAAACCCCTGGGCTCAGGCAGTCCTCTCGCTTCTGCCTCCCAAAGTGCTGGGATTACAGACATGAGCCACTGCATCCAGCTGAAGATACTTTCTCATGCAGTTCCAAGTGCTTTTTAAGGTGTATTCTGGGGTGAGAGTCAGTGCTGTCATTGCTTTAAGAGGTGATAGAGGCAAAGCCTTGGGTTTTTCCACATGTCACAGTAACAGACAGCAAGGGGATGAGAAAACAGACTTCATCACCCAGCTCAGAGGTCATGTCCTGGTGGATCCCTCAAGGGTTGGGAGAGCTCAGAAGCAGCTCAGGTTTCCTTAAAAACCGTGTTTGAGCCGGGCTCGGTGGCTCAGCCTGTAATCCCAGCACTTTGGGAGGCTGAGGTGAGTGGATCGCCTGAGCCCGCGGGTTCGAGACCCGCCTGGACAACTTGGCGAGACCTCGTCTCTACAATAAATCTAAAATTAGCCGGGCGTGGTAGCGCACGCCTGTAGTTCCAGCTACTCAGAAGGCTGAGGCGGAAGGATTGCCGGAGCCCAGCAGGTCGAGGCTGCGGTGGCCAAGAGCGGCCACTGCACTCCAGTCTGGGCGACAGAGTGAGACTCCAACTCAAAAAAAAAAAAACCGTGTTTGAGTAATGAAAATTACCCTGATAAATAATTTCTCAGAATCAGGGCCTTTGTCATTAGTGATTTATTATTTGGGCCTTTAATTTTTCCTTAAGGACTTTTTTTTTTTTTTTTGTAGAGATGAGGTCTTGCTATGTTTCTAGGGCTGGTCTCAAACTCCTGGGCTCAAGCAATCCTCCCACCTCAGCTTCCCGAGCAACTCGGACTACAGGTGCACACCACCACACCCAGATAATTTGTTTATTTTTTGTAGAGATGAGGTCTCACTTTATTGCCCAGGCTGGTCTTGAACTCGTAGGCTCAAGCAGTCCTCCCACCTCGGCCTCCCAAAGTGCTGGGATTATAGGTATGAGCCAACACACCCGCCCTCGTTAAGGATTTTTGAATCCTTAGTTGCAGATGTGTCAAATGGTGGAGGTAAGGGATAGGGTCAGATGCACCCCTTCTTGCCAGCAAGCAAGTGGCTTTTTTTGAGAATAATGTCTTCCATTGTAGGCTACGGAGCAGCTGGTGAGTGATATCCTGAGACAGGCTTTGGCAGTTGGATACCAGACAGCTTCTCACAACAGGTACTATCTTTTCTGCAATCAGTGGTATGAGGCTTACACCTATTTCCTAATGGTTTGTCTGTGGAGGTGTTTTCTACGAAAGCCAAATCCAGTAGGAGGTGGAGTGAGTGCTTGGGACAGTCTGAGAGCCAGGCTGACTCAAGGGTCTGCTCTGTCATTTGGGGAGAACCTCTTGGTTGTGAAAGCTCAGCTTTGTCCAGAGGTCTCTATCCTCCTCATCATTACTTCATAGACACCTAGGACCCTATTTTGTGACAGGGTTGAATTAATATCAGCTCTTGGAAGTTAAAGATAGATCCATTACATGTTAGACATTAGGCCAAGCACTGTATTTATTACCTAATTTATTTTTCATTGCAGTAAGAACTATTACTCCCTTTTTAAAAGTCAGGAAACTGGCTTTGAAAGGTAATCTTGCCAGACTTCCCTGGCACGTGTATATAGTCGTTCCTAGATGCAGACTCACGTCTTACTGACTAAAGCCCACAGACTCACCACTCTTCTTCACTGTCTCTCTAATGGTCTTTGGGACATGGAGTTTCGCTTTCTGAGGCCCTGAAAGAATGGTAGATAGGCCGTATTCTGCTTTTCTTTCAGATGAAACAAATACAATTTTATTCCATTATGCAAAAAGCTGTCAAGTTTGTAAATGTAGCAAAGTGCCTGAGGATACAAAGAGGCCTAAATCAGAGGACTCTTAAGCCAGACGTTCACAGGAATACAGTGTGTGAGAGAGCATGGGTATCTTTAGAAAAACGGAAGGGGGACACAGAGTTCCAGTCATGCTGCTCATTTTCCCGCTTGAAACCCTTGAGTAAGCCCAGTTGCCTCTCATGGCCCCTGCTCACCTCCATGGTCCTGATTCTGGAGGGGAAGAGCAACTTGGGTGCTTTCATTGAGAACATTGAACATCACACGTAGCCTGGCATGGCTCCAGCTCCCATCTTTCCAAGAGACAGGAAATGTGGTCCAGAATTCTGTGGTGCTTTGACTCAGCTTTCATCTCTCAAGGCTGAATTGTAAACATGTCATTCTGTTCCACTATCCACTTGATTTTCTTTCTCTATTCGCAGTCCTCAGAATGTTTTTTCCTAATCATTCAGCCAGCTTCCTGAAATCCTTTTCATGGCTGTGACAGGGAAGTCACATTTGAGCCCTGACTAGAACTGTGATTGAGGGGAAGCCAGATCTTTCATCAAAGCTCAAAGCAATTAATAGGGGAAGAGAGACCAAACCATGTCACTCATTAGTTCCTTCCATAAGGCCTCTGCAGGAACGGGCCCTCTGGTAATTTATAGCATAAATGTGTGAGAGAATTACACCTGATCCCACTGTTTGTTTTTGGACCAGGGCTCCCAAGGAAATCACAGTGAGCAATGTCCACCAAGCTATTTGCAGTGTTCCCTTTCTGGACTTCCTCACAAACAAACACATGGGAGTACTGAATGAGGATCAGTGAATGGAACTGAGATGCCCCTAGAAAGGCAGCATGTGAAGGTGTATCCGAAGCAATGAGCTGTGAGGACTCTTCTGCTTGGGGCGGAGGTTTTCTGTGTGCCTGGGAGCATCTTGGCTACCAAACCACTGCCTCTGCCTGATTCAGTGTAACACCGGAGTGTCCTGTCCAGGTGAGAACCTTCTCGAACAGGAGTTTGTTTCCTGATTCTGGAGTGTCGCTGTGAATGGATACTGCTTTTTCAGCTGCATTTCTCCGCTGTCTGTGTGTATTCCATGATGGGGCGCAGAGCTGGGCCAAGCCGTGTGTAGCAGGTCTTTCTCCTCTGGGTGTACTCAAGGGGCACTCTGGGTCTGACGCCCCAGGAGGTAGAAAATGAGTCTGGCAGGCTAGACAATCCACCCATCCTGTGGCTGGGATTACAGGAGCTCTAGCAGTTACCCTGAAGAAGGACTGGACTCGGCACTCGGTGAGTGGTTCTCTGCTCCCGCCTGGCCTTGGTGTGGAGGGTTTCCACTCTCAGCCCAAGTGAGTCAGCTGAGGAAGAGGTAATGCCATGCAAAGAACCACAAGGCCTGCGAGGTTGCACACAGAGCAGTCATGCTGTCAGGAGCACAGGAGCATCACAACCAGTATCCAAGTGGTGGGAAGGGATGGAGCACTCAGTCCCACGTAGGTCAAGCCAAGGTTCAACACAACCCAACTCTCAGTGTTAGTAGTAGGCAGCGCCCACAGGCCCAGACACGTGACAAGATCATGCCAGCTCTGGATGTGCGTGTGGAGCAGGTGGCTGGGTCCATGCCATTTGCGTGGTCTGCAGGAGCATCTGCTGCTGGCTGTGTGGCAAGTGGGGGCAGTCCCCAGGTGTCTCTGCTGTGATCAGTTATCCTGGCCATGGATTTGGTATCCTGTTTTCTGTCAAGGAGTTTTTTCCCCAAGAAGAAAAGTGTTCAAAAGAAACACCTGTGAGTGCCTTAACGTTGGAGAAGTAGCTGTACAGGTGCAGAGACGGGGCTGCCCGTGCTCATCAGAAGCAGGGAGAACACATTGTCTATCAACAGGACCCCTCAGTGGGAGGAAGCAGCAGACAAGAGAAGGAAGGTGAGCAGCACCACTGCAGGGACTCCGCCCCAACCCTGACACGGTCTGTGTGGAAGGTAAAAGAAAGAACTTAGTCTCAGAAGGTTGCTCTTACTCTGCTCCAAGAAAATGTGAAACCTGTGAGTCAGGGTCAAAGAAACTTATCCAAGCAACATAGTTCCTGTTTTCATGGGCCCCATAGATGTTTGAGTCAGGAAAATAAGGCAAGAAAGTGACTGGATAAAATCTGCCTTTTACTTTGAGCATCTGAGGGCTGCAGATGCAGAAGGAATATTTTCAGCAGGGCACAGGGCATTCACTGGCTTCATAATAAATAGTTCAGCGGTAAAGCCCAGATGTTTTATATCTGTGTACTGCTGCAGACAGCACTGACAGGCAAGTATGTGGATTCCTTCAGAAAGTGTACTGACAGATCTGCAGGACAGGGGATTTAATCCAAATGAGAACTGACTCATTTATTACAAGTACGAAAGCCGAAAGAAATTATCTTTTTGAAAAAAAATTAAATGATTTAACAGTCTCTGTGTGTGCTAATGTTTCAGATGTATTTGTACTACCACGATGTGTAACATAATTGTGTAAGAAAAATGTCTACAATAAATCTTTTAGTATTTGTGATGAGTTTTTCTGAGTTTGAAGCGCTGTATGTGGTCAGGTTCTTCTTGCCCAAGGTCAGAAACCATCAGGACAAGGCAGGGTAGAGATTTTTGTTTGTGTTTCAGTCTTGTACTTTTTTCAGTCTTGTTCTTCCCCCCCCCCCAAAAAAAAATTACAACCATGCAAGATAAAGGATTCCAGTTACATAAAAACCTGAAAAAAAATCAGAAAATATGTGTTGATCGTAGACATAATTATTCCTGGCAGCTTGGGGCAAAAGAGAACTGCATAAATGAGCTAGAGTTTCCTCAGAGCCAAGAGGTTCCTAACAAACATACTGGTTTATCTGCAAGGTGAAGTTAGCCTTTGCTGAGGTCTGAAAGAAGTTACTCCTGTGACATAGTCCTGTGCTATGACCATCTGCTATCACAGGGCTAAAAAGTAACCAAAAATGCAGAAACAGAAGAGCTAAAAGACTGAAATCTTTGGTGTTTTGTTTTTTTGAGTTGGAGTCTCACTCTGTTGCCCAGGCTGCAGTGGCACCCTCACAACTATCCCAGTGTCGACCGGCTGGGCTCAGGTGATCCTTCTACCCCAGCCTTCCAAGTAGCTGGAACCACAGGTACTCGCCATCAGGCCCGGCTAATTTTTTGATTTACTGTAGAAATGAGGTCTTGCCAAGTTGCCCAGGCTGGTCTTGAACCCATGGGCTCAGGCAGTCCTCTCACCTCAGTCTCCCAAAGTGCTGGGATTATAGTCGTGAGCCACCATGCCCAGCCTAGGTTTTGGTTTTTTAAAGGCAAGAATTTCAGCAAGCAGGTGTTGCAATACACTTCAAGCATGTTGCTTTTTGGGCGTCTGGCTTTGCTTAGGGTCAGAACAGAGAGTTGAATTGTCCAGAGTAAGCAGGATAGGGGCATGTTTGGGCTTGCCTTCCTGAATGTTTGATGGTCTCAGCCAGGGTTTTGACCCAGCAGGCAAACCAATGTCACAGAAATGCCTTCAATGAGGGCTCCCCACTGATTGAAAGAACCCTATGAGAACAGGACCCAGAGTCAGCTTTTGGGCCTCTTGCCAGCCTTGTTCAAAGGGGATGTTCTCCCATCAGCCAGGGGTGCACTGCAGGGCCCCGTCTGGCAGGGCCTAGCTTTACTCAAAAGCTGCTTTTTCCAAAAATGCAGAAACAGAAGAGCTAAAAGACTGAAATCTTTGGTGTTTTGTTTTTTTGAGTTGGAGTCTAAAGTCCTGGAGTTCTGTAATGGAACAGAGGTGGGACCTTGGTCTAAATGACTGAGACTTATGAAAGACCCTTTAGGGCTTTCAGCTTGTCGGACCTCGTGGCGCACCCACGGCTGACTGGGGCAACTACTGCAGTGGTGACTTTAGTGATGGAATAATTAATGTTGAACTCTTTCTGTTGGCTGGAATGAGCTAACATTGAATCGCTTTTTATTTTTAAAATATTTACACAATTAATACAAAAATGCTTATTTTATAGAAACTTTAGCCAAGTATAATACAATTTTAAAAAGTCTACCCATAATTTCCCTCTCAAAAGATCACCACTGTTAGTATTCCAATGCACTTCTCTTTGTGCGTATTATATATGAGATAGTTGTGGGGGTCAGACTCGGTGGCTCAGCCTGTAATCCCTGCACTTTGGGAGGCCGAGGCGAGTGGATTACCTGAGCCTGCAGGTTCGAGACCAGTCCAGGCAACTTGGCTAGACCTCATCTCTACAATAAATTTAAAAAAAAATTAGCCGGGCATGGTAGCACGCCTGTAGCTCCAGCTACTTGGAAGGCTGGTGTGGAAGGATCACCGGAGCCCAGTTGGTCGACGCTGGGGAAGCCGTGAGTGTGCCGCTGCACTCAAGCCTGGGCGACGGAGTGAGACTCTGACTCAAAAAAGATAAATGTGGGTTGGACCACATAGTTGACTTGCCTGAGTTGTGTCTTGGGTCACTCACTGAGCATGGTGGCAGGCCTTACTCAGACCTGAGTGACAAGGTGTTTCTTTAGAACCCAGGTCTCCTAATAAATAATGAAGCCTCATAGGGAAGACTGTTGAGGTGTGGTGTTTGTGGAAAGCTCTGCTGCAGTGCATTGCCAAGAGGGTCTTGGGCCTGCGTTTGCCTTGCACAGGTCAGGCTTGTCTGGTGCCATGAAGCCTCTACTGCTACTGCCCCACCAGCACTGCCAAGAAGAGGCAGGCCTAGTCCCCGCTGAAGTCCAGCAGACCCATCGTGATGGCAGAATGGATGGGCATCCCAGTGCTGCGTGGTGTGGCAGCGGGCAGAGGGTGGTGAGGAGCCGTGAGCACAGGGCAACGAGTTCAAGAATGTTTGAGGCTGCAGGTGGGAACAAAGCTGCCTCCATGAGGAAGTAGGAAGGAAGGGAATGCTAGGGTAGGAAAGACTTCTTTTTTTTGAGTCGGAGTCTCACTCTGTCACCCAGGCTGAGGGCAGTGGCACACTCATGGCCGCTACAGCCTCGACCTGCTGGGCTCAGGCGATTCTTCCAACTCAGTTTCCCAAGTAGCTGGAACCACAGGCACACGCCACCACACCCGGCTCATTTTTTGATTTATTGTAGAGGCAAGGTGCTTGCCAAGTTGCCCAGGTTGGTCTTAAATCCCTGGCCTCAGGCAGTCCTCTCCCCTCCACCTCCCAAAGTGCTGGGATTACAGGCGTAAGCCTCCATGCCTGGCCAGGAAAGAATACTTCTAACACCTGTGCTTTGTTGGCTGTTTACTAAGCACCTGCACATAAACACAGGTGCTCTTGACAACCCAGTAGGGTGTAGGAGGCTGCATCCTCGCTTTTGCAGCTCACGTAACTGGTGCGTGGCGATCCAGGAGGTGGACTCGAGACTGGCTTGAGAGTTTATTGAACCTGGGCTCTAGAAGAGGGTCCGGGAGAGGGGTGGGTGGGAGGCCAGTGGTGCCGTGGAGACTTCAGCCAGCACCGACACACTTGCAGCCCGCAGGGAGATGAGCTCAGATGGACACATGCTACAGTGGAGTCTTCATCACTCAGAGGACGTGAGGATGCTCTCGTTTATCATTGTAAGAAACGGAGATATTGAAACAGTACATTTTTGCATTTTAGTAAAATCCAAGACTGTACAGTTCATCTGTTCATTTCCCACAGAACGCCCAGCAGGTGTCTCTTCTCTCAGTCATCCAGCATGCAAGCCAGTGAAGTCTGAAGTCACAGACGCCTGTGGCTTTGGTTTCCCCTTTTCCTCTGAGACTGATCAGAGTGCTTCCTGGCGGGCATGAGGGGCAGGACTGTGCCCAAGACTAGCACCTCTTGCGGGGATGCTGCCCACGCAGCGGGAGCGGGGCACCGGTTTTGCCTCCAAAGCTGGGTGGCTCTGAAACCCGAGTGTCCCACCCGCAGATCAAATGCTCATCTGACTAGATCCCTGCGTGGGCTGGAGAGGAAGAGCAGCCCAAGGGGAGCTCCTTAAGTTTCTTGACCAAAAACTCCTGGGCTTGTGCCTTGAGCTTTTAGGAAAGGGACGTAAGCCCTTCAGGGGTTTGCAGGGCTGCTGTGCCAAGAAGGGACCGGGTGTGTCCCATGCAGCCGCGCTGGCTGGGATTTGTGGAGAAAGGAGAGAACGTTCAGGGACACATGAGCTGCCTCCGCAGGCGGTGAGCTGCCAGGCCCTGTGAGTGCGAGCAGGGCAGGCGGGCAGGGAGGGCTTGGTGCAGATGACTTGCCGAGGTCTTTCAGAGAATAAGGTAAATGCCGTCTTCCCAAAATGCTCCCAGTCCTTAGTGTGTATGGGAGGGACCTTCCAGCCCTCCGTGTGTGAGGAGGGGAAACACATCAGTGATACAAAATGCGGGATCCAGGCTTTAGCAACAAGGTAAGTGTCATTCCATGCAATCCCAAGAAACATTTGTTAAAGGATGAGGATCGTCTTGGTCGTAAAGAAGGAAGCCCTGATTGGCGGTCTGCTTCTTTTAGAAATACCATCTTAGATGCTCTGTGTCACCGTGAGTCACACGCAGGTGATAACCTAAGCTTTCTTCTACAACTTGGACATGGAGCCATTTGTAGGAAGAGCCAAAGATACCACCTTAGATTACCATAGGTTATAAACGTAATACAGTGATCACGCATCCTGGGAGAGCCACCAGAAGTGGACATGACTGTTCTCTCAAGGACCTGATAGTCCACGTTCCCCAGCCCCCACGGACCAATTCGGCTCATGGTGGAATTGATCAAGTTTCTCAGATTTAAAAACTGAAGGCTGCCCAAATAGCAGTTAAAAACAGATGTGAGCCTTCCACAAACTTCTAGAAGAAGAGGGTGCTTTAGGCTGAGCTGAGCCGGGTGGGGCCAAGTCCATCTGTGCTGCAGCCCTGGCAACAGTTTTGTGTCCCCTGGCAGAGGCTGTGCCATGTTCTCGGCCCAGCCCAGGTGGCTGTGGGTCCTGAGCCCGCTCCTTGGCCCTCTCCTCTCCACGGTCATGGTGTCCACAGCTTGGGCAGTCACACGTTGAGAATCTGGGGAGCTGAGGCCTGAAAGATGGCTGAGGGATTAGGCGTGAACTTCCTCACCTCGGGGACCTGGAAAACGAAACGTAGTCACGTATCAGTGGTCTTTTCCTTAACCCCTCCGCCCAGCTGCAGGAATACCTACCTTCCTTCCATCTTCCTCTTCATCCCAGAGTTGAGACTAAACAGAAGGGCCGGTTGGGGAAGTAACCCACAGTGGGTGGGTCAGTGGCACACGGGCTTTCATTCTACTCCCAAAGCCACCTCTGGGGGCAGTTGGGAGGCAGAACAGTCCCCACCTCCCTTCCAACTTCTCTTCCCTCTTAAACAAATGCTCAGGTGTTTGGAAGGGCCAGTCACTAGCACTCCATGGTCAAGGGTCAGATGAGGATTTAGGAGGCAAAGAGACACCCTCCTCACCAGAGAGGCCAACACCGGAGGGGTGCCCTCCTGGCTAATGACAAAGAAACTTGGGTTTGCTGTTAGGGACGACTGGTTGGGCACAGCTGTCTCTGGCCATAATGTCACTTGAC